ATGTCTTCAAACCCTTTCAAGGGAAAGGACACTCTAATCTAACCAGATGGCTTAAGTATCTTTCCACTTGACAGATACAGTTCTAGCAGGAGATGGGAGGCTGTTTTGATTGCAAAGAAGTGAGGAGTCAAGAAAAGGCCATGACCAAATCTAACTCCATTTCTGATACTAACCAAGTGACCCTCAAGGACGTGTGGTAAAAAGAAGACAACATTTTATTTAATTCAGACAATAAACTGGTGGTTGGGAAACTGTAAACTATCTGTCTCCTACCCGACTCAGCTGATGAATCTACAATGTCTCTTCTATTTAACATTGTGATTGAGTCTAAATTCTTGAAGATATTTAAGGTCTCCCATAATCTGGTTCCAAACTGCTTCTCCTTAACATCAACCCTCCCTAGGGTTCACCCTGCATTCTCCTTCTCCCCAAACACCACCTCGTATACATTACACTCATTCCCAGTTATACACAATTACGTATTGTGGTAGAAGTTACTAAGAATAGGTTTCAACAAAACATACAGAAAAACAATTACATCAAATTTAAAGAAGGCAGTACATGTAGTAGTTAAGAACATGTATTTGAATCTCAGTTCTGACATTTCCTAGCTACACAACCTTCAGCAATTTATTTAATATCTCTGTTTCCTCATCTGTAAAATGGGAATAATAATAAAACTATCTTAATTCATTGATCAAATATTTACTGAGTGCTTACCATGTGCCAGGCACTGTTCTCAGTGCTAGGAATACAGCAGTGAGCAAAACTCATTGTGGACAAAAAACTGCTGCACCCATGGAGTTTCAATGGAGCTTACACTGGAGTTGAGTTATCAATACACAAATATGTCAAGCCATGTGACGCTGTGCAATCCCTAAAGGAGTGGATATGAACAGAGAAAAGAAGAGATCCAGGGACTGAGGCCTGGAGACCTCTAATGTTTAGAGTTTCTTATATTTTTAATAAATAAGGCAACAAGTTAAGCCCTTATTATCTTAGAACTCATGGAAATCCAAGTGAAAAAAAATCATCCCAATAGAATAAATGTGCAAAGGACATGAATAGGCAATTGACCAAAAAAAACGGCCAATAAAACCACTCTTTATCTATCAAATTGACAAAGATTTAAATAATAATCAGGCTGTGATGAATTTTTTTGAGTTGGACACTCTCATACCTCACTGGAAAGACTATAAACACAATCTTTCAGGGGAACAATCTGACCACTTGAATCAACAGCCTTTTAAATGTTCATATGCTTAATTCAGTAATCCTACTTTAAAAATCTATCCTAAAGAAATCATCAGATATATAGCCAGAGATATAAGTACAAGGATGTTTATCAAAGAGCTATCCGTGGTAGCAAAAATTCTGAAATAACCTAAATGGTTCAACAGAAAATGAATGGTTAAAAAAATTCAAATATCCATTTTTAGACTATTATGTAGCCATAAAAATGACTTTAAATAATATTTGAAGGCAGAAAAGTGTCCACAATATAATGTAAAGTAGGGGGAAACATGATATAAAATTGTATTTATTGTATGGCCCTATTTATGTAATATCTATATACAGACATACACACACATATGTATATATATGTATACATGCAGAAAAGAAATTGAAAGGATATATATTAACATAATGTTTATCACTACATCATGGTCATGAAATAATAGGCATTTTTATTTATGCCTTTATGTTGTTCCAAATTTTCTAGAACAAATGCATATTACTTCTATAATCAGAAAACAAAAGAGATGGTTTTCTTTATTTTTAAGAATGCTGCCACTAGGACAGTGCTCCCTCTTTTATAATGGAAGTGTGGAATGCATTTCATTGGGCTAGGTATTTGTTTAGAATATTTGCTGGATATTAATCGAAGAAGAAATATCCAAAAATGGAATGACCTGCAAAGTGACATGGATTTCTCTCCCTAAAGATGTTTAAATAGAAGCTGGATAACAGTTTACTAAATATGGCTTAACAAAGGAAGGTGGCATGCCTAGAGTAGAGGATTCATCATGATCCCCATTGTCTGGCATTGTGTCTGGCATATAGTAGATTCTCAACAAATACTTCTTGAATGAATGAATACATGATTTCTAAGGGCTCTTCCAAACTTGAGACCTTGTGATTCACAAAGCCTCCCCTTCCTATTCTGGTCCTCCTAGCTTTCTTCCTTCTCTGGACTGCGGGAGCAATCATATTATGAACCACTAATTTAAGGATCTTAATTATACACTGTATTGTATTTTATTTTGTTTATTATTGTAGTTCCCTAATTCCACTAGGAGTTTAAATCCTGCCTCCCCAATCAGTTCCATTCAATTCACCTTTGTTGGGCACTATGTATTCAGTACTAAAACCTGCCCTACAAAACTTTACATTCTAAGAAGAATAGAAATACTAAAGAGAGAGTGCGCACTAAGTCTAAGTGCTCTAATAAGGGTATGCATAAAAAGCTATCATCTGACTGGGGAATAATGAATTCTGCTAAAAAAGGTGGTCCAGGAAAGCTACAGGTAGGAGGTAATTTCAGCTGAGTCTTGATAGATAACAGGAGTTTGTCAGGCTCTTAGGGGAATAATGTTAAGATTCGGGGGAAGTTGATGCCACAGCAAAGAATCAGAGGTACAACAGTGAGTCTTTCTCACCTTCTGCTTTAATCTGTCCCCTATGCCCGACAGAAAACTTACGGTTCTCTGGTATACAATCAATGCAGCAACGGGAGCCCAGAGAAGAAAGGTTCCCTAGAACCAGAAGGGGGCTGATCCAACAGGCTTCAGGAGAGCTCTCTCTGTCTCACAGCTTGGCCTTGGTGAACTAGTTTGGGAAGTGTGGAACCGAACCAAGTCAGAGCCACCGGGTCGGAGCCTTACCTGCTGCCCCTCCCCCACGCGAAGCCCAAGCCGCAGCCAACTTGAAATTTGCTGGTCTTCCTCAAGCCGGTGGCGTTCTAGGTCCGCCTCCCAGAGCTTCCCATTGGTGAGTTCTCCCGGCCAATCTTGGAGAAGCTGAGGAGGGAGGTCCGCCCACTTGAAGCGAGAAGAAGGAGGGAGGGAGAGAGTCAGCCGGAATCCAGGCTTGGGGAGCCTGGCGCGGAGAGAGATGGGGCTGCAGAATCAACCGGGGGTCAGTTATTTCGGACCTCATCTCGGCTGGAGGAGCTCCTGGTTAGCGAGAGCTCACAGAGGGAACCTGACAATCAGATCTCACCGAAGGACTCTGTTGACGGAGATCCCACAGAGAAATGAACCCTTATGAAACCTGTTCTTATTGATCAGTCTTTTTGTGATTCAGGCTTCACAGCTTGACCTCTCCTCCATTATTCCAACCTTCCCTCAAAGCTACACTGCTTCCCTCCAGCACCACCAGGAATATTTCTCTTCTAAAAAAAATTTTATCTGGGTTGCTGCCATTTCTCTGAGAAGATGGGGAGAGGATTTGGAGAAGGAAGAATTAGGCATCAGAGAACCAGAGTTGGGGAGGCAGGGAAGGAGCCCAGTGTTTCCTGCATTTTCCACTCCCTTCCAGCTCCTCCTGGCCCTTGGCAAGAGGGGTGGGGAGCACAGTGGGAGGAGTCCTCTTTTCACAAAAAACAGAAACTCAGGGGAAAAGTTCAGAGTGAAGGTAAAATCTAGGAGTTAGTCAAGAAGACTATCCCAGATGTTAGGGAAAATGGCCCTGGGAGCGAAGCCTCTGGACTTGGAAAGCTGTAGGTGTAGTGGCAAGTGCCCAGTCTTTGGAATAGGACAGAAACACAGCTGTGAGGCTTTGGAGAACTTGCTTAACTATACTAAGTCTCAGTTTCTTCATCTATAACAAGAAGATTATTCCTTTATAGTGGTGTTTTGAGGTTGAAGATAATGTATGTAAAGGACCTGGCACATTGTTGGTGTCCAATAAATGGTAGCTGGTGAAAACAACAACAAAACAATCCCTGCAAATAGTTCTCTTTCTCTCCTTCTTCAGGAACATTATTTTTAGTATCTTGTGTGTGGCCTCCAACCTCTGAATTATCTCAGGTGAGTTTTCCAAATCCTGAGGATTTTTCCTCATCCCTCTTCCCCTGATGCCTTCCAGCTGGACACAAACTCATTCCTAAAATATGCAGATGGAAGCTATGGTAACTATGGAGACAGGGCAGGTGGCAAGGCGAGTCAGAGATAGACAGTGAGAGAAACTGATTGCGGCAGACAGGGAGAGAGAAGACTTAAGGAGCAATTCGGACAGAGACCTTGAAGCAAAATGCAAAAATAAGGAGTCTAAGCAAGACTGAGAGTGAAAAGATGCAATGAGAGAGGATATGTTTGTTACAAAGTTCCCTATTCTCTCTGCCCCTTTTCTATCTCCCTCCCTCCCCCCCAAGAATATGGGGAGGAGGCATGTGGGAAGGCCTCTTGCTTTATCTAAAAATGACCCCACATAACCACCCTCCTTATACTTACCTAAGAGGTCTGTACAAGGGAGCTAAGGTCCAAGTTTATGCTATGTGTTCCGTTTTGGGGGGAGGTGGAGTGAGGATGTGCCTTTGTGTGTGACTCCCGTTCTCCCTGACATTTAAAGTACAAGAAGGCAGGCAGATCTTTTGCCTCTCTCTGTACAGTATGGACTCCGGCTGTGGAACCCAATTGCCTGTCTCCACCCCTCTGCACAGTGTGCCATGTGCCGCCGTGTGTGGCAGGTCAGGTCTGGCGCACAGGCGCGCATAAACACACCAAGCACGGAAAATAGGGATCTGCTGAAGCTCAGCGAAGAATTGAGATGGTCCCAGTCTGGGTGTCGGAGGAGTCTCCTAAGGAACACTTAGGTTTGTTGGGGCTGAGAGGAGGTCAGCTAAGCAAAGGAAGTCAGGATTGGAACCCATAGGTTTTGAGGGTTTATGTGTGCAGGGGTGGGGGAACGGTTTGGTACCCGACGCCCCCACCCGCAGAGACTAGGCTATAAACAGCAAGGCAGAGCTCCGCCCCCCCCCCCCCCCCCCCCCCCCCAGCTTCTTTCCTCCCGAGCCGGCGCTGTGCCCGGGGCGCACCGGGAGGAGGATCCAAAATCCAGTGCCCGGGCGCAGATACTGACACCAAGGGAATCCGGATGCCCCCCCCACGCCATGTGGGCCCCCGAGAACCTGGCTCCGCCATCCCAGCCTCCCCGTAGCCCTGGCCTCAGCCCTGGCCCGGCAGAGATTCTGCAGACCTTCAGGTAACTATTTGGGCGCATAGCCTGGGAAGGGAAAGAGCAAGGAGTGATGGGGAACATAGCAGGGGCAAAAGAAACCCCCAATTCTCCCCCCACCCGTTTTAGGTCCCAAACGCAAGCTGCTTCCCTCCCCCCATCCAATTTATGGGGCTGTGGCAACCTAAAAGAGGTTAGGAATGGAAATATGTGTGTGAATGTATGGGTGCATGTGTGTGGGTGGGTGGCGTTCAGCATCCTAAAAAGGGGATTCCAAGTGCGGATAAGAAAAGGGGGATGCTGGAAAGGTCTGATAAGCCCTGGGGTGAGGGTGGGGGTGCGGATATCCTTGCGCGTGCACGTACGCATTTGCACGCGCGCTCGTCCTTCAATGCGGGTGCACCCTTCCCACCTCCTCAGGCATGCGCTAGGGGGAAGAGGCGGCTCAAAGGCGTGAGTTAGAGGAAGGACTATGTGCGGTGCCGTGGAGATCTCCCCCGCCCCACGCCAGGTCCTTCCATCGGTGCCTCAGTTTCCCTGCCTGAATCCTTCAATAAGATCTCTCTCTTTCCCGCAGGGATTGGCTTCGCCACTGAGCCCTCGGGCCTCTGCCAGCCACCCCCCATCCCCCACGCCCTTAGCCATTCTCGGCAGGTGCCATCCGCTCCATCGGTACTCTCGCCCCAGCTGCAGTTATGCTGCACACCGAGGGCCACGCTCTTCTTCGGGCAGTGGGTCAGGGTAAGCTACGCTTGGCCCGTTTGCTTCTGGAGGGGGGCGCCTACGTGAATGAGGGTGATGCCCAGGGGGAGACTGCGCTAATGGCGGCCTGTCGGGCCCGCTACGACGACCCCCAGAACAAGGCGCGCATGGTACGCTACCTCCTGGAACAAGGCGCCGACCCCAACATCGCAGACCGCCTAGGGCGCACAGCGCTCATGCACGCTTGCGCCGGGGGTGGGGGTGCCGCCGTGGCCTCGCTGCTCCTTGCCCACGGCGCAGACCCTTCAGTCCGAGATCACGCGGGCGCCTCGGCGCTTGTCCACGCCCTGGACCGCGGGGACCGCGAGACCCTTGCCACGCTGCTGGAAGCCTGTAAGGCCAAGGGCACGGAGGTCATCATCATCACCACCGACACCTCGCCCTCGGGTACCAAGAAGACCCGGCAGTATCTCAATTCCCCACCTTCCCCGGGGGTGGAGGACCACGCTCCCGCTCTTTCTAGCCCAGGGGTCTGCACGTCGCCTTCGGAAATCCAACTGCAGTCTGCAGGAGGAGGAGGACGTGGGTTGTTATCCCCTCGCACCCAGGAAGAAGAGGAGAAGCGGGACGTATTTGAATTCCCTCTGCCTAAGTCCCCCGATGACTCGTCCCCTTCTGAGCCGCTCCCCAAACCACCCCGTCACCCTCCAAAACCACTCAAAAGGCTAAACTCCGAGCCCTGGGGCCTAGTGGCCCCTCCTCAACCGGTCCCGCCCTCGGAAGGGAGGCCGGGGGTCGAGCGCCTGACCGCGGAATTCAACGGCCTGACCCTGACCAGCAGACCGCGTCTTTCCAGACGTCACAGCACGGAAGGCCCGGAGGACCCGCCCCCTTGGGCGGAGAAAGTGACGGGCGGGGGTCCCCTCTCTCGCCGCAACACTGCGCCAGAAGCTCAGGAGTCTGGTCCCCCTTCAGGGCTGAGGCAGAAACTGAGCCGCATGGAGCCGGTGGAGCTTGATACCCCCGGAAATCTTTGCCCTGACTCGCCAGAGTGCAGCCGCCTGTCGCTGGAGCGCCGCCGATTCAGCGCCTCCCCGCTGACCCTGCCTCCAGCAGGCTCGGCTCCCTCCCCGCGCCAGTCCCAGGAGAGTCTGCCTGGGGCTGTATCTCCGCTGAGCGGGCGGAGGCGGAGTCCAGGGCTGCTGGAGCGGAGGGGCTCCGGGACGTTGCTCTTGGACCACATTGCGCAAACGCGGCCTGGTTTCCTGCCCCCGCTCAACGTCAGCCCCCATCCTCCCATCCCCGACATTCGCCCCCAACCTGGAGGTCGGGCGCCTTCGCTGCCCGCTCCTCCCCAGGCGGGGGCGCCAGGCTCTCCCAGGACCAAGCGCAAGTTGGTGAGGCGCCACTCCATGCAGACTGAGCAGATCCGCCTGCTAGGGGGCTTCCAGAGTCTAGGCGGGCCAGGGGAGCCTGGGCGCTGAGAGGAGCGAGAAGAGCCAAGGAGGGTGAGGGATCAGGACCTTGATGGGACAGGCGGGAGAACTGGCTCACATACACACCACGGGCATAGGGGTCTCTTGCATGTGCTCATGGGCACGGTGCACGCACACATGGGTAAACATGTGTCCACAAGCACAGTATTTTTATTCGCAGGGAAGGGTAAATACTCTATTTACTGGGCATAAAGACACATGCATTCATGCCCTGGTCACTTCATACGCATATGGGAATTACTTGTGTACTCACAGGCATGGCATACACAGGACCACTTGTGCTAGGGCCCCAAATGGGTTCCCGACTCTCTTGTATTTGTTCAGAAGCAGTAGGGAGCCCCTATTTATGGGTAGTTTCCAGTCTCTTTGCCCTCCTACAGAAGCAAACCTTGCTTTCCACGTATGCCCTGCAACAAAGCCGGCTCATGATTTTGCACAGTCTATCCTCTTTGTGAACATCCCAGCTATTCTGCAGGTTTTGCAGGTCTTGGTTCTCTCTCCAGGCCTGGCTCCTTATTCACACCCTGCTTCCAGCCCTAACCACTTTTCAAGATATCTTCTTCACTTTCCTTGGGATTTCCTACAGCAATCCCCAGCCTCAGTTCTGCTGTTGCCCTTCCTGTTCTCAGCTTTACTTCTCAACTTCCTGCTTTTTATCCCCACCCTGCTCCCCTGCAACCAATACAACAGGTTGTCTCACTTTCCCAGGGGGGTGGGTCATGGGCTCTAAGCTGCTCTTCTGTCTGTTTGAGCTTATGAACACCCCCACAGGTAGAAGTGGGGAGTAACCCTAAATCACTCCTCTCTCCACTTGACATATCAAATAAATGTGTTCAGAAGTCTCTGTTTTGTCACTTCTGCCTGAGGGGTGTGGGATGTGGGGAATGGGGAGGAAGAGTGACGCTAAGTATAGCTACAATAGTCTAGGGGATACTTAGAGGTTCCAGCCACCTTCCCTCCAGGAGACCAACTGACCAACTGTGGTTGTAGAAGAAAAGGCAAGTGTCCTAAAGGTTTTAAGGCATTTGACAGGTTTTCATTTTTCCAAGTCTCCCCTATGTCCGTCCTCAAATTCTTTAACTTGAGATTCCTACATAGAGTTTCTCCCTCCTTCATTAACAGATATATCCCGTAGATTAACTGTTCCTCTTTCAAGCTTCCTATTTCTTGACCACTCACAGTTTTTCCTTAGGAGTCTAACTCTCATCTCACCAGGTGCATTTCATTCATTTTCTTCTACTTCTGGCTTCCATTTCCCCATCCTTGATTTCTAAGCCACTGTAGGGTGGAGAGAGAGAAATTTGGAGAGACAGAGAGGAGTAGTTAATATAACCTCACCTAAGTCAGAATGGCATGATGGTTAACTGACAAAGGGTGTGTAGTGTATGTGTGTATGTGTGTTGTGTGTGTGTAAGAGTAATCAGAGGAACCCAACTGGCAAAGGATGTCTAGTGTGTGTGTGTAAGAGTAACCACAGGAACCCAACCTGACAGGTTCTATGAACAAGGGTACCTGCCTTAATCTGCCCCCTGGACCTTTCATTTTGCTGATTTTCTGCATATATTCTAACTCTTCCTCACTCTAATGCAAGTCAGGGAGCGACCCATTCTACTTCTTCTTACTCCCTCCCTCAACTTAGAATAGGTGAAATCAGAAAATTACTCAATGATGTGGTATAATGAAAAGATCAAAATACTAGGAACCAGGAGACCCATGTCTGAACCACGCCCCCCCCACCCCCACTTTGCCATCTCCTAGCTATTTAATTTTGGGCAATTTTTCTAGCCTCTCTGAGTATCAATTTCCTTAACTGTAAAATAAAATCTAGTTAGTGATTGTGATTATTAAATAAGACAATGCACTAAAGTACACTGCATAGTGTCTGACATAGAGTATATAATCTTTAAATGTCAGTATCCTTCCTTGCTTTAGCTCCACCACCAATTGCATGTGATCTTGGACAAGTCCCATCACTTCTCTGAGCCAGTTTCTATAAAATGAAGTAGTCAGACAAATGATCTCTAAGAATCCTATCACTCTGTCTACAATTCTCTACGGCCTTGCATCCAGGCTGGGTTTTTTTGTTTGTTTGTTTGTTTTGCCACGCCTCCCCCCAGGGGTCTGGCCCACTTTCTAGTATTCCCTACATTACTCCCAAACACTCTCCCAAGCTAAGCTTCTCCCTCGTAGAGGATATCGCCTTTTCTCTTTGCAATTGGTTACTCAGAACCTCCGCCCTCCTCAATAATTTGCCTATGGCGGAGGGGGAGCCCACCAGCTCCCGCCCCCTACCGGTGATTGGCATGGGATTGGCTCGTCCCCGACCCCGCTTGACTGACGGTTGAGCTCCAGCACCGCCTTCAGTCCCTGGGCGCTTGCTGGCTAGGGTGGCTGGGACCGTTAGCTCGCCAGGCTGGCAGGCTCCGGGCCGCTACTCCACTGGCGGCCGGGATGGAGACGATGCGAGCGCAGCGGCTTCAGCCTGGAGTGGGCACAAGCGGGAGGGGTACTCTACGAGCGCTTCGGCCTGGAGTGACTGGGGCCGCCGCTACCACCGCCACACCCCCAGCAGGCCCCCCGCCGGCCCCACCGCCCCCTGCACCGCCCCCGCCGCCGCTCCTCCTGTCGGGGGCCCCTGGGCTGCCGCTGGCCCCCGGCGCCGCCGGCAGCCCCGCGGTGCTACGGGAGGCCGTGGAGGCCGTGGTAAGGAGCTTCGCCAAGCACACGCAGGGCTATGGCCGAGGTGAGTCTGCGGGTCTGGCCTCCTGCGGGACACCCTCTGTAACGGAGCCTTGCTCCTTGCTCCCACAGTCCTCCGAATCGCTCTTCCTGGCGCAGAGCCCTCACATGCATTTCCTTTTGGGGAGTTTCCTTCTGAGCTACATACACACGCAGAGACGCACACACTCTTGCACACGTTTAAGCCTCTCACCCGCCTCCCCTTTATTGAGTTACTACTATATTCTCCAAGGACCCCTTTTTACAGATGCAGCTGTCTTTTCTTCCCACCCTTTTCTCCTTCAGAAATAGAATTCCCGCTGTAGCTTAATGCCTTAACATCTCTCTGCTTTTGAGACCGGTGCCCATTGTGTAGGATCCTATCCTTTATCCCAGAACCAAGATATTTCTTATCCATACCCTCTCAAAATCTTTCTTATGTGATCTCAGCAATTCTTGGGTGCCCCTGTTAATTTACTCCATCTCCTTAGCTTTCACTTTTTAATTCTTTTCCTACTTATTGACTTTATGAAATTTCCAATGCAACTTCAGATTTGCTGAGGAATTTAGGTAGTGCCTTCACAAGTCACTTAAAATATTTGTGCTTTTAAATCTGGACCCATACCATTGATCCCACAGCAACTTTCTATGATTTAATACCTCCCTTTAGTGTCTTTTTTAGTATGGAGCTTCACAACTCTGGCTGCTGTGTCTGGCTGGCTCTGTTTTCCTGGCCCTTGCCCAGGAACTGAGAATAAATCCCAGGCCTTGGCTCTCTCAATGTTAAATTCTGTGGAAATGAGCCAGGCAGAAACCCTATTTCCATTAGAAATCTTCATCTTAAAGATGCCTAATTTCCAGGGTTTCTGAGAAGGGGGATATGAGGATTTTCTTTGTTGTTTTTGTTTAACCAGTACAGAATTTCCTGAGTTCGAGCTCCAGATTTATAGTGTAACAAGGAATATATAGTGAGGAGTGTAGGATACAGAATTTAGGTCTGGAATTTCCTAGACATCATTTCTCTCTGCTTGGCCAGGTCCTGCATGACCTGGAAGTGACGTGACTATATCTTTAATTTTCTAGTTTAACAATAATGCATAGGTTGCAGGGTTTTCTCTATAGACAGTAAAGAATTTTTTTTTTCTCCCTAAGAAAGTGTAGTGAAAAGAGCACACACAGGCTTTGGAGTCAGGCAAGTCTGGATTAAATCCCAGATTAAATCTCTGTCACTTGCCAGCTATGTCCTGTCACGGTCTTTGCTGAACTTCCGTTTCCTCAAGGGTTATGATGTGGATTAAATGAGATATAGCACCTGACACATAATGGCTACTTTAAAAATGATGACTATTATCTCAAATTTATTGGTTCACGTTTCCTTGGGAAGAACGTCTCATTTTCTCCCACTCTTAAATCCTGACAGTGTAAACGCAAATATTTCTGTGAAAACAGATTTTTAGATTCATTTTACTATAATGCGCCCAATGATACATTTACCATCAGTTTCCCTTTGTTCTTCAACATTTGAACTCCTACTATGGGGCAGGCACTCTGCTAGATGCTGGGAATACAAATGCATATGATTCTGAAAACCATCATGAGAGAATGTAGTTGTTTTTCTAGTTTAATTTCTAGATTTAACAGTGCTATGTGATGGAACTGCCATCAGCTATTGTCCTGCTGCTTCAGGTCTTTTTAAGTCAAGACCAAGGGAAGGTCTTTGCCTCTGGGCATAGGAATAGCCAGGAGTGGTCACCTGAAATCTGAACCCTTCCTCTTAGAAACTTACAGGCATTTATTAAAAATATAGAGGTTTTCTTGTCTATGTTACCTGGAGAACCTCTGGTTTAGCGTCTAAACTGAGTGTCTTGTAAAAACTTTTTCATTTCCTTAGAAAGGATAAGGGAAGAAGGGGAGAGTACTGACAAAGAGCAATCAGTCAGGCTTCAGACTCTGCGGCGCTTCTCTTCTCCAGCCTCCCTACCTCCCACCACAGTCCTTCTCATTGTTCTTGAGTTTCTCATTTCCAGTCTGGGTGTCCAGCCAGTACTTTGGGAGAGTTTGGCAGATAGTTCAGCTTCAGGGAAGCAGAGTTTCTGTTGATTTGGCTCAGAAGTCCTTTACCACATGGAATCACTTATTCTGCTTCAATTAATAGGCAAAGCTGCCATTGGCATGTACCCACATACCCCTTGTGACTGATGGCATGGTATTTGGGGACTGGCTCTATTCCCCTGAATATAATTTACTTTGGTCTTTGCCCAAACCATTTCCCAGTCCCAGTCCAACAGTGCTTTACTGTATCATCTTCAATTCACATCTCTAAATTCACCTTTTCCTGTCACGGTCTTTAGAGTTACCTTCATTCATGTAGGATATCAGCATTTATACAAAAAAACTCTTCTGTTATTTCACCTGTTTGTCCTATATCTCCTTGCCGCCTACTATCCCTGCCCCCCATCCCCACCCAAGATACACACATAGTTCAGTATGCTGTAGGATCTTAGTTTATAGTGCATAGGATTTGGAATCAGAGAACCTGGCCCTGTCAAATAGTGACTGTGTTATTTTGGATAAATTGCTTAATCTCTCTAGGCCTCATATGTTCCATTTATTCATTTAACCAACACTTATCGATTACCAGACATAGCAGTGAACAAGACAGATACTCAGTCCCTTTCTTCATGGAGCTCACAGTCTACTTTATAGTGCATGTGTGACGATTAATAATGCAATAAAACAGGATAGTAAAATAGAGGGCTGGCTTTAGAGACAAACAAACATTAGTTCTAAATCCTGGTTCTGCCACTGTGACCTGTTCTGTAACTTGTTTACTTTTTTGTAAAATGGGTATTATAAAATGTATCTTGATAATTTTGTGTGGATTAAATGGATAGTAAATGTAAAGCACGCAGCACACAGTACTCAATGAGTGGTTGCTATTATTATACATTTGGAAATGCTTTGAAAACTGTCCATATGATAGGTATTGTTAGCATTGCCATTTCCCTTGCCCCTTTTTTCCACATGGCATATAGTCTCCTTCTTCTAATGACTGACTGAATGACCAAGTCACTTTCCTTGCTCTGTAACTTCTGTACTGCCCTCTTCAAACTTTTTCTTTTTTATTACTCTCCTTTTATATCACAATATGGTTACATGATTGGAAATTCTGCATAGCTACTCCAGTAGGTTGAACAAATGAATCTTGTTTGACATTTTCTGTTCGTTGTTCCTCTTCCTCAGAGTCACCAACAGCTTCTTGGCCTGTAAGTGACTGTGGAATTATATTGGTCTGAATATTTCCAATTTTTGGAACGTTGGATTAGACCCTGTATTAGTTTCCTGTGGCTGCTCTAACAAATTATCACATACTTGGTGGCTTAAAACAACAGAAATTTATTTTCTCAAGGTTCTGGAGGCCAGAAGTCCAAAATCAGTATCACTGGGCCAAAATGAAGGTGTCAGGAGGTCTGTGCTCCCTCCAAAGGCTCTAAGGGAGAATCTGTTTCCTTGCCTCTTCCAGCTTCTGGTGGCTGCCAGTATTCCTTGGCTTGTTTATGCATCACTCCACTCTCTGCCTCCATGGTCACATTGCCCTTTCCTCTTCTGTGTTTCATCAAATTTCCTTCCCTAAGGATACTTGTGATTGTATTTAGGGCCCACCTGGATAATCCAGGATAATCTCCCCAGGTGAAGATCCCTAACTTAATCACATCTGCAAAGTCTTTGCCGTATAACGTAACATTCACAGGTTCCAAGGATTAGGACATGGACATCTTGGTAGGGGACATTATTCAGCCTACCATAGTCCTCTCTCAAAGTCACTGTCACTGTCTCCCTTCCAAAGAGTCTATGCGTTATGGGCTATTTAGGGGTACCTTCTAAAAACTGAAATAGGGAAGATCAGATGAAATATTGTTAACCAGCTTCTCTACCTTCATAATAAGTGAATTAAGCCAGGCCAGCCAATTCTTGCCACTCTGTATGATCAGGGAGAACCTTCTCACTCACCTCTCAATTTCATTATCTATTTATTATCTATTTATAAATAGCTCCTCCACCACAAAATTGCATTTATTTTTATGATGTAAAATTTTTACTGCAGTTTCATGTGTTGTTTTAATGCTTTTACTCTGGTGGATATATAGTCTGTACCTCTCATCTCACTTGGACATTCATCAAATATTTTATCTCCTAAGGGCAAAACCAAAATTATTCCCTTTTTAATTTTTTTTATTGTTGTTCAGCATCATGGTAGAAGTGCTTAAATATTCCTATCTTGGTCTTTCTTGTCCCTTTCAGCTTAGCATCCATCAGTGACTTCCAAAAGGCAATTGTAGCTATCAGATTTGTATGTCTCAGTCATTGCTACCCTCCTACCTTACTCTTCTTTAACCATCCATATGTAAACCATTATATCAATGGTTCCTCACTGAAAATCTGATCAAAACTCTGGGTACTCCCCCACACACACATAAATACTCATATACACACACAAACATAATTTTCCTTAAGAGTTTTAGGGGGCTTGTGAACCCCCATGAAGCTCAGCCATGGACTGGACCCTGAACCCTGGGTTAAGATTCCCAAATTGGAAAGAGCATTGGCATCAGGACATCTACATTTATGCCCCAACTTTGCCACAGCTGTGTGACCTCAAGCAAGTCATTTACCCTTCCTTAGCCTGATTTGGAGTAGATGATCTCTAAAGTCCCTTTTAGCTCTAAAAATGAATGACTGTATGATCATTTTCAAATGCTGATCATAATTAATTGCTTTCCTGATTACTTTGCCCAATTTCCTACTTCACACTCACATTTTTGAAATAAGACTCCCTATTTCTTTTGGCTTTGAATAATTATTAAAAAACAGTCCTGTACTCTGCCAAGAGGGATTTAACTGGATAGAGAGTGGACATATACTTTTTAATAGAACCTTCCCCATTAGAGTGGTCTCCTCCCCTTCCTCTTTATTTCAATATTCTCCTGGTTGTTTGCATGTCAGGAGAGCTGTCACCCAGTGCATTATGCTAAATTGTCTCAAAGAGAGAACTGAGGCTGAAAAAATCTCAATGGAAAGAACAAAGACGGCTAAGCTTTCCGGGCAGCAATGACCTTTGAAGAGCCCTCGCCAAAACTTCGGGTGGGAAAGAGAGAGTTTCCTTTTCATACTGTCTTTTAATGAAAGAACCAACATTCTAAAAAGTCTGCTAAATACAGGGTATTAGAAAAGAGCTTATGCTGCTTTTCAAACTCTGGCTGGTACATGGAGTGCTTGCTTCAGCTCAGAGCAGGTAAGATAACAGTTATTATTAGTCACTAGAGTTTGAACACCTTGATGGCAGGGAATGTGTGTTATTCATCTTTGCATCCCTAATGACTAGACTAGAGCTATGCATCTATTAAGTTCTCAAATTTTTGCTTAATGTGTGTGTGGCAGTCATGAAAATGTGCTGTTTATGTCTCCTGCTGCAGGGAGCATAACTGATTGAGAGCTTTAAGCTGGTGTTCCCTCTAGGTCCATCACTACATTTACACTGAGGCCACACATCCTGCAGGCTGCTCCCAGCCCAAGACTGAGCACAGTAGGGGTACCAACTCAGGCACATCCTAGTGAGATGTAGGATTCCTTTGGCTTGAGCACTTCCCACTGGCCTTGCCAAACCTTTCTTGGAACTGCGCTGCAGTCTGAGACTCTCATATCCAAATCTCCTTCCTTCCCACTCTCCTTCCATAGCTGTTAGGCCTTCAACATGGTCTGAAGGCTCTCCCTTCTCCTACTTCCTCCCCAATAAATCTCTTGGATGTCCATCCCATCTTGACGTTTTCTCTTTGGCAGAACTGAACTAATGCAATATAAAAGAATGAATGAGTCCTTGTTGTAACTAAGAGTAGAGAGAGGTCATGTTGTAAGATATGGGAGAATGCATGTGATAATTTGTTATTATGAGGCTTTAGTTAAAGCCATTTGAAATGTTTGGAACCCTAGAGTTAAAGTGATCCTTTCCAAAGGCAAACTGATCTCATCCCTCCTTCCATTTAAAACCCTTTAATGGCTTCCCTAGGATAAAGCCAATACTCCAACATGACCTCTCAGGTCTGACTTAGTCTGGTCCCTGCTTCCTTTTGAAATCTCATTTTGCATTACACTACCCCTCACTCTCTCTTTTCTAGCCACACTAGTGCCTTTATTCACCAAATTCTCTGCTGCTACAGAGCCTTTCTACATGCTGTTGCTTCTGCTCAGAGCATTCTCCTCTCACCTTTTTGCCTAGTGAATTCACACTCATATCTGAGATTAAATGTCACCTTATCAGGGTAGCTTTCTTTGACCTTCTTAACTAGGTCAGATGCTCCTACAACATTTCCCACCATTTACCACTCCTTTTATAGCACTTATCACAGTTGTAATTTTTCATTTGTTTGAGATTATTTGGTTAATATCTCTCTCCCTCTTTAAACTGTAAGATACATAAGGAAAAGGAACAGTATATGGTTTTGCTCACTATTGTAGCTTATCATCCAGCACATAGTCTAGCATTGAGTAGGTACTCAATACATAATGGTGGAATGATTGAGCCCAAGTATTGGGAGATAAGGGGAACTGTCCTGGAATACAGTATCGAGTTTGGAGTTTGATTTTACCCTATTTCCAAATAATAAGTTAGCTGGTTACCATTTCATGGATACTGGCAGAAGTCAAGAGACTTCTGGGTCAGAGAAAAAGGACTTTATTACTGCTAGCACAGCAAGTAGTATGAACATCATGTTTGTTTGCATTGGTTCCCCCTGCCTCCCAAGTCTGACATGGAGAGCTCAGGTGGATGCTTGCACAGGCCATTGGTTGCATTACAGAAAAGGAACACTGAGCTTGGGGAACCTGCCATTTTATAGCAAGCAGTAAGCAAGCTTGTTCTTTGTCCCAGAGAGAGACATTACCTCATCCCTCAAAGTTTCTTGCTGCAAACACAATCCTGAGAAGTGGCCCAAGTAAACAGCAGTCAGGGCCTTCAAATCTTGGCATACCCAGCAAAATGGAAAGGAGTGAAAGAGACCTATAGAGGAGTTTCTCCCAAGATACAGTTCCTCCAGAAAACATTTATACCTAGGGAAAGCCACAGAAGAAAAATATTTTCTCTCTCTCTCTCTCATGTAGTATACACATGATATTCCAGAATGGAAAAGGAATCTGGCCATGGGTTTGCTCACCAGAAGCATAGGGTCAACAATGGCTAATAGTGGCAACATTGCATAACAGTTAAGAACATTGACTCTGGAACCAAGACTGCCTAGGTTTGAATTCTTGCTCTTTTGCTTTCTAGCTGTTACATCCTTGGACAAGTTATTTAACCTCTCTATGCCTCATTTCCCTCATCTGTAAAATGGGGATAATAAAAGTACCTGCCTCATAAGGTTAAATGAGTAAAGCACTTAGAGAAATGCATGACATACAGTAAGTGTTCAGTAAATGTTAGCACTTATTATTGTGGCAGTTATTATTATTTTAGGCCAGCAGACCAACTGTGGAACAATCTACTTGCACTTCTTCAGGTAGTGATAGTAGTCTGGCTGACCTTGAAAACTCTGCCTTCAATATTTAAGTTATTCTCCTTGGTGTCTAATACTAATGAAAATGTGAGCTAGAGAGATGGTGGTATACTCTGGTCTTCCTATGCAAACAGACTTAATCACAGTCTAGGTTCATTAATTTAAAAGCTTTTAAATGGGGATAGGTAGAAAGCTAAGGGGGGTAGACTCTTAATGTAGGTACAGGTTACAGATACAGTATTGAAGCACAGCAGCACTTGGAGGTGTTCTCATTGCTACTTCTCTTTTTGTAGTGAATGTGGTGGAGGCACTTCAGGAATTCTGGCAGATGAAGCAGTCTCGTGGGGCTGACTTGAAGAATGGAGCTCTAGTGGTTTATGAGATGGTTCCCTCCAACAGTCCTCCCTATGTCTGCTATGTCACCCTGCCTGGGGGAAGTTGCTTTGGGAGTTTCCAGGTAAGAGTTGCGAGGTTGCAGTAGCAAAAATAAATGCATAGGTGCTACTAATGGCTTTCCGCATCACTTTGGCCATTAAATTTCTGTCTGAAATCACATATTTGAGGATCTGAACCAATTCTGAGAAAATCTTTCTGGTAAGCATTTGAAGCTCCTTTGACCACAAAAGAAACTCAGTAGCATGTTTTTCTTTCAGCCTATGAAAACTCAAACCCACTTTGAATTTGAGCAGTTATGAATACGCCCTTACTCAGTATATCAGACTACCAGCACATAACCTATCTTCTGATCTAGCTTTCCAGCTTCCTGCCATTTCTTTTTGAAAACATAGACTACTATTCCTTGCCCCCAGTACTTTTTAGTAGGCATTTACTAAAGAAAGCAGTGTTTGAGGGGCTGGCCCCGTGGCCGAGTGGTTATGTTCGCACGCTCTGCTGCAGGCGGCCCAGTGTTTCGTTGGTTCGAATCATGGGCGCGGACATGGCACTACTCATCAAACCACGCTGAGGCAGCGTCCCACATGCCACAACTAGAAGGACCCACAACAAAGAATATACAACTATGTACTGGGGGGGCTTTGGGAAGAAAAAGGAAAAAAATAAAATCTTAAAAAAAAAAAGAAAGCAGTGTCTGAGTTCTCAAAGAGAACTATGTATGGTGGAAATAGTACTCTTCTAAGAGTTAGAAGATCCAGATTCTCATTCCTGACTGCCAGCAGGGCAAGTTTAGGTAACTTCTGTGGGCCTCAGTTTCCCCATCTATAACATGAAGGAATTAGGTTAGATTATCTAAAGTCTATGTAAAATATAAAAAATCCATGTAAAATATAAAAAACCCATCTTTGATGATAATATTCACACTAGTCAAATTTCTCATTATCCTATAAAAGCAACCACTCTTTTTTGTTTTTTAAAGATTTTATTTTTTCCTGTTTCTCCCCAAAGACCCCCGGTACATAGTTGTATATTTTTAGTTGTGGGTCCTTCTAGTTGTGGCATGTGGGACGCCGCCTCAGCATGGCCTGATGAGCGGTGCTATGTCCATGCCCAGGATCCAAACCAGCGAAACCCTGGGCCGGCGAAATCCTGGGCCGCAGAAGCGGAGTGCGCAAACTTAACCACTTGGCCACGGGGCTGGCCCCGCAACCACTCTTTTCATCATCGCATATTACAGGTCTTTCATCTAATCATAGAATGCTAGTACTAGAAAGACTTTACATGCTCTGTAGAGGCAGAGATAGTGTCTGTCTTCTTTCTTGTTCAGTTTTAAATCTCTACCACCAAACTCAGTGCCCAGCAGAGAGTAGGCCCTTAATATATCTGTGGCATGAATGAGTGCCACTGCAGCTCAGTTCCTGCCTCAAACAGAAACAGTCCTAAGGAAGCTTCATTTCAAATCAGGTGACTAAATTTCTTCCCTCAGAACGCCAGTCATTTCAGAGAAATAAATATATGCCCAGGATGACTAATGTTTATGCTTTTTCTTCTAGAGGATAAGATCTTTCCCTCCTTCTCCCACCTCATCATATTGTTGAATAAAGATTTGATAATTTTATGGTGATGCCTATAACTGGATTATTATAGTAATTTGATTTTCTGTTATTTCCTAAAAGAGTAGAATTATCTATCTTGGCCTCTTTTAGCTTACATCTTTTATATCTACTTTGGCAGGTGAAATTTTTCCCAGTGGTTTTCTTCACAGATGACTTTTCAGAAACAGCAGTATACAATAGAATGGGCAGTGGGCCAGTAAATAGAGAGAGAAGTAGAAACAGAGAAACTGAAGAATCAAGAAGACTTAGGGTTAATGTACCAAGCTCTCTATGCTGTCTCAGAGATACCTGTCAGCTAAAGGAAACTGGGAATTATTGATATTAAGGATGGTTAAGTAGAGAACATATTCTGGTCTGCTTTTTAAAACTGTAACATCATTTTTTTCCTTTCCTCCAATTCTAATCATAAATGACAAAGGGCACAGAGGCCTTTGAGGCAGCCAGTGAAGATGAATTATAAAGGAATACTATGGTAACTAGGGATCTGAAGTTTAATGATTTCAGACTTCTGAAAAACCAGACTTGTTCTATGACACCTATGTTGGATACAATGTAAAAACATGAATTAATTTTTAATATTTTCTTGCTTTCCTTGGGTCAGCTTTCCTTCCCCTAGCCACCCCTCTCCTCCTTGATTCCACTGAGGGAGAAAAAAAGACTATAGATTCCTTCTTCAGACCTTAGGGATAGCTCCTTGGCTCACTACGTTATTAGGGGAATTGCCTGATCACAGCTAAAAGTGAAGTCCAAGAATCCCAGATGGGTGCTTCTGATAGAGACTAGAAGTCTCCTCTGCAAAAGCAGCCTAGATACAGCTTTATACTATTCTTAGGTTATCTACAGGGATGAAAAAAATCTTGCCTGTCCAAAGAACAAGAGAGCAAGATTCATATTTCTAACAGGCTGGCCAGAATCTGGCTTTTGATTAATTCTGTTGACAATTTAAACAGGGATATTTTTCATATCCAGTGATTATATGCTGACTTCAGCAGCCTTCTTCATTCTGCATTCAATTTGGTATGAGCTACAGCCATCTCCAGTTCCTTAATGACTTCAGGATGTTGAATCAAAATTAAGTTTCTAAATGCCCCAACCATTTTACAATAAAAACTTTGGAGAGTGTGTTGAACAAACTGATTTATCCAGTGTCCAAATGTCTTCTATCCCAAGCGTTTCCCTCTCATTGTTCCTTCCTCTCTCTCAGATACCCATAAACATACCTTCTCTTTCTCTACCCTGCCTAGTTTTGCCCCACAAAAGCTGAGGCCCGGCGGAGTGCTGCAAAGATTGCACTAATGAATTCTGTGTTTAATGAACATCCTTCCCGAAGAATCACTGATGAGTTTATTGAGAAGAGTGTCTCTGAAGCCCTGGCATCTTTCAATGTAAGTTACTTGGAGTTGGAAGGAAGGAAAGTGGGGGATGGGAGAACTGGCTGGTTGGGAAGTCTTGTAAATTACTGGGGCACAAAGCATGAATTCTTGTTTTCTTTCCTGTTATATCTCTGTTCTTTCTGTTTATTCTGTCAGTCTTTTGTATTATGTGCTCCATATATCTCAGTCTCTAATTCTATATGTGTGTTTATGTTTTTGCTGTTATTTTGTCTCTTTCATTGTGTCTATTTGGTATCTAGAAACTTTTAGTTCAAGATTTATGGAATTTTAGAGATATTCCAAAGTAAAAATTGAACTTGAATTTTGCTTTTCCCAATTTTGGTTTAAGATCTTAGTCCCTTCTTCCTTTACTATTCTTTTTTTCATCTGACTGTTCTTATTGTCACTTGTCTCCTGCCTCCATTACTTCATCTTATTAATAAAGAACACTTTATAATACAGTGTCTTGTCTTTTTTCCTTTCTAGCAATGGGGAGGATAATTTATTTACTCTCTCTAAAAAGAACATCTGTTCTTTCAAATGATGATGATAATAATAAGAACCATAACTGATCCTAACTGAGTATTTACTTTGTGCCAGGCACTATTCTAGGGGATTTATATGCATTTTATCTCATTTGATCCTCACAAAAATCCTATAAGGTATAAGAACCATTATTACCCCTGTTTTACAGATGAGGAAACTAAAAACACAGAAGTGAAGTTTTCCCTAAAGTGATATAGCTAGTAAGTGGTAGAGCCAAGACTGGAACCCAAGCCAACTTACAGACTTTTCTAGCTTAGAGGTCATCTTAGAAATTAATACTGCCTTTTTCTTCCTTCCCCACTAGTTCATTGATAGGGTGATAAAGTCATAACAATTTTCTGTTTCTGTTCTTTTTGCATTTAAGATGTATTTACATATACTAAACTGCTTCAGTTATCTGTTTTGTAGATTAGTGTTGAACATTTTAAATAGGAAGTCGGCTTCCCTCAGTTATCTAGGACCCATCTGTTTTTCTCACATTATTCTTTACCCTAGTCAGCAGTATCTGCAGGGAATAAAAATATTTTTACATTAATCAAAACCAATTAAAATTAAGAAGGTACATTTGTTATTCTTAAGTCACCTACTATATTATAAAATGAAACATAAGTTTGGATTATAGAAAGCATTGGTTATGAGCCTGGGCTCTGAATTCATTGTTTTGAAATTATGGTTCTCCTACCTATGTGACTTTGAGCAAGTTACTTAATCTAAGTCTCAGTTTCCTCATATATAAAGTAGAATAACAATTATACCTATCACATAGGATTACTGGATAAAAAAGAATATATTCAAGCACTTAGCACATGTTATCTGTTTAGATGCCTTTGGATGTAAGTAATAGAAAATCTCACTTCAAATTAACTTTAGGAAATAAATAAAGGAAGGAGATTTATTATCTAACATGACAGGAAGCCCAGAAGTAGGGCACATTTCAGGGCTGGTTGATTCCATGGACCAAGAATGTCATCATCTACTGGCCCAAATTCTTTCCATCTCTTCACTCAGCCAACTTCTAGATACTTTGTCTGTGGGCTCGCTCCCCTCAGGGTGCAAGATGACAGAATTCCAGGTATTAAATATAGACATAACTACATCCAGAGACAGAAAAGAGACCATCTTTTCTAGAGTCTCTTTAGCAGTGAGGAATCTTTTCCCAGAAGCCTTCCAGCAGACCTCCCTTCTACCTCCCAGTGACCAGAATTCCTACCTTAAAACCAATTACAGGACAAGGGATTAAGATTTACCCACTGGAGTTAGGATAAAATCACTCTTCCCTGAGGCACATGGGAGATGGGTAGGCACCAGAACAAGATTAAGGTTCTATAGTAAGCAAGAAGGAAATAGATGTTGAGTAGATCACCAGCAGTGTCTACTACAAAGTGTTTAAGAAATGTAAACTATTACTATTCTCATGCCACTATTCCTCTTTAATTAACCCCCAAAATTGAGAATTTACTGGCTTTCTCATTAATTTACCAATGGAATTCCCATTCTCCAAAATAACAATTTTCATTTGGCGTTAGCCATGGATAAAGAGTGATGTCCACATTTTTTGCTTTCAGTTTTTGTTCTTTAAAAGTCCTGAATCTGACACTATATTATACTATGTATTTTGACAAATCACTTAGCCTCTGTGGGTCTGAGTTTCCTCATTTGTAAAATAAGTAAGTTGAATTAAATTAACTCTAATTCCTTTCCTATTATATTCTAATTGTCCTACCACTTATCAAGTATTCTGTGATTAAATGTTTATTGAATAAGTGAAGTTCGTTTATAACTATGTTAGATGTAGAAGTGTCATATGAGATAGAACTTCCCAACTGGTGGGTCATGCCATTCTGGTGTACTCCAGATAGTTTAAAGATGTGCCATGATATTGATTCTCTCAGCTCTCAAGGGACTGAGCAAGGGCTGGAGGAGATGGACTCTTCTGTCCCACAGCCTCTGCTGGCAGGCTCCTCTGTCAACAGCTTCCTCTGTATACCTCAGTTGGCTGTACAGATGTGATCATTATTTTCTATGTGCTATATCATGGAAAAGTTTGGAGGTACTGAATAAGTTATTGTATTGACCAATTATAGGTAAAAATGAAAATGGTTGCTTGCTTCAGAGCCCTAAATCCTAATGGTGTAGATTACCTTTTCCTTCTTCCCTCTAGCTTTTCACTTCTAAACCCAAATTTTGTGATCTTTGCTTCACCACAAAGATTAACTACATGTGGTATGGTTGTTTCTCACAAGCCACAAAACAATATGGGTTGATTTTGAGTAGTTCTGACTTCTTGTTGATTCTAGCACAGTGAAAACAAATAATAATAATAAGCTAGCACTTACGGTGTACTTACTAAGTGCCTGGCATTATTTTAGGTGTGATACATACACAGTAGAAGTTCATGATATAGTGCCCCACAATAAACTGAATTTGGAGATAACTTGGTTGGCTCCCAACCTCCACCCATTCCCCTTTCTCAAAGAGAGCAGAATAAAGTTCTTATCTTGTGGGGGGGGGGGGCAGGGAGGACAGGGACTGGCTAGAAAGAGCAGGGAACTTCTCAGGAAGCAGGAGGAGACAGTTGGGTCTCTGTGTTCCCAGTAGTCTCCTGACCTTATTTTCATAGATCATGTTGACAAAAGAGTCACCAATAAACCATGAGATGCCCTTTTTTGGGGAAGTCTTGGCTAGCCCTAGGATCTGGAATTATCCCCAATAATATTAAACCACCACCAAATAGCACCAAATCAGAGCCAGTACCAGAATGGATTTGGATTGTGTAACTGGACACTAGGTGCAGTACAATAATGCACCCACATTTTATATGATTGGAGTTTTCAGACCATATTTATCCCTTTTAAATTAAAAATGTTTAAATTTATTTAATTCTAAAACAACCCTATAATGTAAATCTATGATTATTCCATTTTACAGATGAGGAAACTGAGGAACAGAGAGATTAAATGACTTCACCAGGGCCACAAGACTAGTAGGCACTCCAGTCCATGCTCTTAACTTCTTCTTTTTTAATTGTACAAAGTATTTATTTTAATTAAAAAGCTGGTTTTCAAAGACATAGGTATTTCATTGTTACCTCCACCTCAAAAGACTCACATGAAAATAAAACACTTAAAACAGAAAAAAAGGGAAAAGTCAAATGAAAGGAAGAAAAGAAAAACTGGTTCACAGCATTTGATTTACTTCTGGACTCTCTCTTTTTTTTTTTTAACTTTTTATTAACATTATGATAGTTTACAACCTTGTGAAATTTCAGTTGTACATTATTGTTAGTCATGTTGTAGGTGCACCACTTCACCCTTTGTGCCCTCCCCCCATCCCCCCTTTCCCCTGGTAACCACCAATCAGTTCTCTTTGTCTCTGTGTTTAACTTCCACCTATGAGTGGAGTCATACAGAGTTCGTCTTTCTCTATCTGGCTTATTTCACTTAACATAATACCTTCAAGGTCCATCCATGTTGTTGTGAATGGGAGAATTTTATCTTTTTTTATGGCTAAGTAGTATTCCATTGTATATATATACCATATCTTCTTTATCCAATCATCAGTTGATGGGCATTTAGGTTGCTTCCACATCTTGGCTATTGTAAATAATGCTGCAATGAACATAGGGGTGCATGGGACTTTTGGAATTTCTGATTTCAAGTTCTTTGGATAGATACCCAGTAGTGGGATGGCTGGGTTATGAGGTATTTCTATTTTTAATTTTTTGAGAAATCTCCATACTCTTTTCCATAGTGGCTGCACTAGTTTGCATTCCCACCAACAGTGTATGAGGGTTCCTTTTTCTCCACAACCTCTCCAACATTTGTCACTTTTTGTTTTGGTTATTTTTGCCATTCTAATGGGTGTAAGGTGATATCTTAGTGTAGTTTTGATGTGCATTTCCCTGATGATTAGTGATGGTGAGCATCTTTTCATGTGTCTATTGGCCATCCGTATACCTTCTTTGGAGAAATGTCTGTTCCTGTCCCCTGCCCATTTTTTGATCGCATTGTTTGATTTTTTGTTGTTGAGCTGTCTGAGTTCTTTATATATTATGGAGAGTAACCCTTTGTCAGATAAATAATTTGTAATTATTTTTTCCCAACTAGTGGCTTGTTTTTTTGTTTCAATCCTGTTTTCCCTTGCCTTGAAGAAGCTCCTTAGTCTGATGAAGTCCCATTTGTTTATTCTTTCTATTGTTTCCCTCGTCTGAGGAGTTATGGTGTCCGAAAAGATCCTTTTGATACTGATGTCAAAGAGTGTACTGCCTATATTCTCTTCTAGAAGACTTATTGTTTCAGGTTTAATCTTTAGGTCTTTGATCCATTTCGAGTTTATTTTTGTGAATGGTGAAAAAGAATGGTCAATTTTCATTCTTTTACATGTGGCTTTTCAGTTTTTCCAGCACCATTTGTTGAAGAGACTTTCTTTTCTCCCTCTTTCTGGTTTTTGAACAAGTTTGTGTGGCCTCCTCTGTCTGTGTATTTGAGCATTCCATATCTTCAACAGTAGATTCTGTGCTTTCCTCAATTTCTTTCTTTCTCTTCTTTGTTATAGTTTTGGCTTTCAAACCTCCATTCTCCACAACACTGAAGTCCAGTTTACCATCATCCTTACTTCCTTTATAGCTTTGGGTCCTTGCAAAAGAATATCTTGTAAATTCTGAGAAAGAGGGTTTTCGGCACAGTCCAGTAATTTTGCTGTTTCCATGTATTTAGCTATTTCATCTGACTTGTTTTTCTCAGGAAAACATCTGTCCATCAAACCTGAAATATTTTCTCTGTATCTAATTTTGGAATCTCTAACATAGTTAGGATCTTTCAAATTATCCTCCCAAGGAAGATGCCCACTGAGCCACTGGATCATTTATCATAGTATTTCCAAGTCACCAAGTCTCAACGGGCCCACACCACGGTGTGCATTGACGCTCGTGAATTCAATAGTGCCATTGTGACATCTTTTGGGGTCTTCTTTGTATTCTTTGTGAATTCCTTCTGGGTAATACCGATAAGCAAGGCCATAATCTACCAAGTACACCTGGTCAGGATTCTTGTGGCTCAGAAGGAACCTCCTTCTGAGGTTCCTCACATCTTACTGAGGCCTTGATATCCCTCTCCGTGTACATACTGGTGCTCGTGAATATATTCCAGAATATCCAGAATTCTTAAGTTTAGCTGCAAGACAGTTTTTTGAGAAAAACTTTTGGCATTTGCTTCATATATTTTCTGAAGCTCACTCCAAAAGCAATCTATTATCATAAACCTGTAACTTTTTCCATTTTTATCATGTATACCAGACCCCCCAATACTTAGGAACACCCAGGTACTTCAGTTTATGGGTACAAATCCATTTCTGAATTTGCTCTGGTTTGGCAGCTCACTGGTAGAACTTTAATTCAGTAAAAAGAGGTCCACTGTCACTAGGTTCCCCGAGCTGCAGACCCGTCGCCTTCTGCCCACCACCCATGCTCTTAACTTCTATATTATATTGTTTTTTGCACACACCAGGCTTGCAGGCAGGACAGTGTATCTTAGTTCTACCCCTGCAGGGTCATGTCACCAATAGAAGGTCAGGAGGCAAAACTGCTGCTCGGTATTTGCCATGCTTATGGTTCCTACTGTCTCCCTTTAAAAATGCATTGACTCAATTGTCCTCTAGGTTAGTTCAATCCTGTATGCTGAACTCACTCTGTTATTTTAGCTAAATCAGGGCTCCCCTCTATGTCTCAATGCTCCCCCTTTGTAAAATAGGGAACATCAAATTGATCTTTCTCTATCACCCAAGTTAATGTGTGTGATGACTTTGGAGTCCTCTAGGTCTGGGCTGACCAGCAGAATTGAGCACTTAAATGTGGCTAGCATGAATTGAGATGTGCTGTAAGCATGAAAGAGACACCAGATTTTGAAAACTTAGCACAAGAAAAAGAATGTAAAATATTTCATTAATAGTTTTTATACTAATTACACTTGAAATAATATCTTGAATATATTAGGTTAAATAAAATGTGCTATTAAAATTAATTTTACCTGTTTATTTTTAATGTGGCAACTAGAAAGTTTTAAATTAAATATGTGGCTTGCACGCATTATATTTCTTTTTTTTCCCCTTCTTCTTCTCCCCAAAGCCCCTCAGTATATAGTTGTATATTCTAGTTGTAGGTCCTTCTGGTTGTGCTATGTGGGCCACCACCTAAGCATGGCTTGATGAACAGTGGCATGTCTGCGCCCAGGATCGGAACCAACAAAACCCTGGGCCTCTGAAGAGGAGCACACGAACTTACCCACTTGGCCGTGGGGCCAGCCCCTCACATTTTCTTTCTTTTTTTTTTTTCTTTCTTTAATGATTGGCACCTGAGCTAACAACTGTTGCCAATCTTTTTTTTTTTTTCTGCTTTATCTCCCCAAATCCCCCCCGGTACACAGTTGCACATCCTAGTTGCAGGTCTCTCTAGTTGTGGCATGTGGGACACTGCCTCAACGTGGCCTGACGAGCCATGCCATGTCCACGCCCAGGATCTGAACCTGCGAAACCCTGGGCCCCGGCAGCAGAGACCATGAACTTAACCACTCCGCCATGGGGTGGCCCCCTCACATTTTATTTCTATTGGACAGTGCTGCTTGAGGTGATAATCCTGACGGAAAAATCTATTTTTCTTTTCCTTTCCTCTATTACCAGGGCAACAGGGAGGAAGCTGACAACCCAAATACAGGGATTGGTGCCTTCCGATTCATGTTGGAATCCAACAAGGGCAAGTCAATGTTGGAGTTCCAGGTACTATTCCACCTACTTCCCTGGCTTTAATAACATGGATCAGCCTGTTACCATATGGAATTGGAAAGGAAGGGAGATAAGGTTGTTAGAATATTTTTCAAAATATAAATACCTTCCTTCCCCCAAGGGCATATCAGAGTTGGTGTAAGAGAGGCTTCCACAAATATATCTTGTAAAAGGTTCCCCATGTAACTCTGATGCAACCTCCCAATATAAAATCACTGTCCTGGTATTTCTCATCTTCTTCTCCCAGGAGTTAATGACAGTTTTTCAACTGCTACACTGGAATGGCAGCCTTAAGGCCATGAGAGAAAGACAGTGTTCTCGGCAGGTAAGAGATCCTATGGGTGAGGGAAGTCTAGCAAAAGGACTATTTTCAGGTGGCTGCTGTGTTAGAAATAAGCAGGCCTGCAGTTACCAAGTTGTGAATATTGAAAACTTTACTTAAAGAGCCCTCTTCAGTCCCATAATCTTTCCTGTTTAAATCTTAACTGTGATTCTTTTGCTTGCCTTGCTTCTCCCACCAGGAAGTTTCCCTTAAGAATCTCCTTAGAGGGGCCGGCCCCCGTGGCGCAGCAGTTAAGTGCGCACGTTCCGCTTCAGCAGCCCGGGGTTCACCGGTTCAGATCCCAGGTGTGGACATGGCACCATTTGGCAAGCCATGCTGTGGCAGGCGTCCTACATATAAAGTAGAGGAAGATGGGCAGGGATGTTAGCTCAGGGCCAGTCTTCCTCTGCAAAAAAAGGAGGATCAGCAGCAGATGTTAGCTCAGGGCTAATCTTCCTCAAAATAAATAAGTAAAATAAAATAAAAAAATAATCTCCTTAGAGGACTTAAGTGCTGATTTCAGTTAGTACTCCAAGGCTAAGAGCTCCTAGTCCCAGTTGGGTCAATGTGATAAGAACCTTTACCTTGTCAGTGACCTTCACATTCCTCTCCTCCTCCAGGAAGTGTTGGCTCATTATTCACACCGGGCCCTGGATGATGATATTCGCCACCAAATGGCATTGGACTGGGTGAGCCGGGAGCAGAGTGTGCCAGGGGCACTGTCTAGAGAGCTGGCCTCTACTGAGCGGGAGCTCGATGAAGCCCGGCTGGCCGGCAAGGAGCTGCGCTTCCACAAGGAGAAGAAAGATATTCTCATGCTGGCTGCTGGGCAGTTGGGCAATATGCATTCTTCCAACTGCTAGGCATCCACCCACATACTCCCCATGCTCTCCAGGCCCTTTTTTTATATGTCCTTTCTAAGACTTAGTATGATTTCTGTACATACTTTCTTAATTTTATACTTTAAAATACAGATATATATATATAGATATATATATATATATGTATAAATTCTACATCTGGATTCCTGTTTGCTAAGAGATCCCTTTTCTTACTTCTAGTTTTTGGATATAGTTTCATTTGAAACATCTCCACTCCACTTTACAAGAAGAGCAGCCTGTCTTTGGAGCTTTCTTAGCTCTTACACTAACAGTAATTCTGTGTAGTCATTTCAGTAGCACAAAATGATTGACTAAGTGTTCATGTCTCCTTCTTTTAAAATAACAGGGAGCTTGAATAAGGACTATGTGCCCCATCCTCACCCTCATTCCTGCTTTCTCTTGGACTCAAACAGGGTATGAGTGTGAAGCCTTCTTCGGCTTTGAGCTGGGCCTACGTGGTACCAAGTTGTTCCTCCAGTAACTAGATATTTTCCTAGCCTCCACCTCCCCCTTCCCACCACTACCTTACTCCTCCTCTGCCTCCAAATGGTACTTCATGTTGAGGCTTCCTTACTTTATTATTTGGAAGGAAGTGGAGATCTGGTTTCTTATTTTTAAGATCAATCCTGAGAATATGTTCAGGAACAAGAGAGGAATTACAGACAGAATTCTCAAGGGTTTATCATCCAAGTTGCTCCTGGGGCATAGATACCATATCATCCTGGTAGTCCAGATTTCTGGATGTACTCTACAGAAGGGGTCAGGGTTAAAGTTGCTTATCTTTCAACATTCTCTTTTCACTCCTCCTTCCCTTGTCACCCAGCTTAGTTAAGCCCTGTATTTAGGCCTTCCTGCCTGCAGAGATTGGCAGGAGGTTAAACATATTCCCCTCCTCTCTCTCCTCCCATCATTCAGCTCTTTGGAAACATTTTCTGTCCGGTTTGGTGAGGGCCATGTTCCTCTTACTTCCACAAAGTTGCTGCTGTTTACAACCTTAGATGTGCATACCTTAGATTCACATGTTTTCTCTCTTTTCTTCACATTGATTATTAGAGCATGAGTTGATCAGGAAAATTAGATGGCATTGTGGCACATCCTAATTGGAACCTTGGGAGACTGCAGGAGGGGAAAGATAATCAATGATCAGCTCTTTGTGTTTTTAGTGGTGTTCTCTTCCCCCACCTCTCTCGGGTGATGTAGGAGAGAAATGATCTGGAGTACAGCTAAAACATTCCCCTTTGGGAGAACTTTTTGTAGGTTTTTCTAAGATATATTTTCCCCTTGTTTCTGTAATCTCCTTTATACTATATTATAGCTCAGTCCACTTTCTTGGGAAGTTTAATGTTCATGCAATTGGACTTTTCATTTAACAATTTTATACTTTGCTTTTAGAAATAGGTTAGGAAACAGGCGAAAATTTGTTCTTTTGGATCAGATAGGGACAAGATAAAAATCAGCTTTTTTGTTTTTGAAATGATCTTGGTAACCAGTGCATAGGGGATCAGAAATAAGGAATCTAGCAACAATTGTATTAGTGCTTGAAAAAGACTTCCTTGAATTCTTGAATCCCCATTCTGTATTCCATGAAGCACCTGTAGGACTGGAGTAGAGGATCCTACATTAAATAGTAGATGTGTCTATTCAGTTTTTATTGATATTTATAATCCAGAAATCATAAACCCTCATTTCTCCCATGCTCCTTTCTCTGGGAAGTGTTAAGGGATGGGAGTTGTGGGAAGAACTTGTCCTTGCACCTCCTGGATTTATTATTTTTCTCAAATACCAACCAGTAAGATCCCAAAGAACTTGAGAAAAATTGTTCCCTGACCTGTCCACTTTTGGTATTAAAGATTTTACTTACCTTTTTAGTACTTTCTATGTATATTCTATGTATGATTTTATACAATTAAAAATAGATTTTTGTCTAGTGAGCCAGATTGACTCTTTCTTGAGACCTTTATATCAGAGGAGCTCTAAATGACCCTTTCTGTTACATATATACTAAAAAATAATTTTTATTAGTATTTTTTGGGTGGTAGAAATAAAATTGTGCTGCTGGGGAAAGCATTCTGCCTCCCCTTCTCCAGACATTTGAGGAGCCTGGATTTTGTCTTTGGCCCTTTCTCCTCAAGCTCTACCCATTTTCACTGGCAATCTCACCCACTATGGTGGCTTAAAGTCCATCATACACATGATTCTCAAATCTCTCTCTTCTACCCCAACCTGTTTTGAGCTGTTACATCTATATTTCCACACATTAGACATCACCACCCGAATATGACACCATTTTTTGAACTCACATACCCAAAATAAAACCCATTTCTCCATACATGCTCCTCTTTGACTTCCCACATCTGTTATAGGATTATCTACCCAGTTATCTAAGCTAGAACCCCAGATCCATCCTCAACTCTTCCCTACTGTCATCTAATCAGTCACTTACTATTGAGTTTACCTCCCATATAAATTTCCTATCTGTTTTTGTCCATATCTACTGCCTTAGTTCAGTCCTCTATCGTTTCTGGGCTAGACCACGGCAATAGCTTCCTAACTAGTCTCTGCCTTCATTCATAACATCCTACACACTACTGTCAGATTTATTTCTAAAATATGTGTGACTGTACCACCCCCTTTGCTAAACCATCACTTAGTTATCTTTAACTTTAGCAGCATTTTCCAAAGTTTTATATGTGAACTCTTGGTATTACCTGAGATGATTTTAGGTAATAGATGGGCAAATATTTTTCATTTTTTCTAGATATGCTTTTATCTGAATTTGTAGTAGAAAAATGTAAGTTTTCCACTTATGGCAGTGATATTTAAATTTAGTGCCAATTTGCTTTAAAAGTCAGTCTATTTAAGGAAAAACAGTAATCAAAAAATAGTATGGGGGCTATTGGCAAAAATTAAAAATCATGAAGTAGAGAAATTTCTTGCCTACAAGATAAATTTCAAAATCCTTAGCATGGCATAAAATTTGGCCCTAAACTGTATTTCCAGCTTTATTTCCTAGTCACACAGCATACAGAATTTCTTGCCATTCTTCAATAAGTATTTACCAGATGTCTACTGTGAGCCAGGCATTGCTCTAAACTTTGGGCATATAGTTGTAAATAAGAGTCTCTGCCATATAGATTACATTCTATTGGGAAAAACAGACAATAAACAAGTTAGAAAGTAAACAAGGTAATTAAAGATTCAGATTTAAGTTCTGTGAAGGAAATAACAGAGTCAAGGATAGGAGGGTAGAGAAGAGCCTTCAGGTGACGGTAGTACTTTAGGGAAACCTAAAGGATGAGGTTGAACTAGCCATGTGAAGAGCTCAATAAGAGCATCAGGGACAAAAAGTTGCAAAAGTCTTGAGATGGGAAAGAGTACAACATAGTTGAGGGAAAGTGTAGGGAGAGCTTAATGGGTGAGAGGGAAGAATGGTGGAAGAGGTTGGAAACATAAACAGAGCTGACTGTGTGAGCTTGAATTTTATTCTAAGTGCAAAAATAAGTCAAGGAAAGGTTTTTAGCAGGGATGTCACCAACTGATTTTTAGAAAGATCACACTACCTATTGTGCACAATGGGTTAGTGTCTTAGTCTTAATATAACTGCTTTGCCTGGAAAACTACCCAGCCTTAAAGCCTGGTTCAAACAGAAGCCCTACTTTACATGGACTCTCCTTACTCCAGTCCTATTAGAAACTTTCTTTGTACTGCCATAGCACTTTGTGATAGCAATTATCACTTTCATAATGTGATGTAAGTGATTTTCATAATAAAGTGATTGTTGATAACGCATTGATTTTTCCTTGTATTGCCAGCACCTCCGCTAATATTAGACACACATGTAGGCATTCATAACTGTTTAATAAATAAGTGAATCTGCAGTCTACTATTGTTTAAGGGCTACATTGGGATTCCAGAATTTTGGGGCAATATGGGTTTTGCCTGGACGCGTAGATTTTTGAACGTGAAATACCTGTACTATCTTCAGAGAAACTTTAAATCCCCTATTCTGTTTAAAGCCATGACTATTTTTTAATTCCCAGAGGTGGTGGGAAGAGTTTCAGAGTTTATCTTTAAAAGAAAACAGTTATCTGCTCACCAATGGTTTCACGGACAACTAGGTCTGCTGGTTTCCTTGAGGGAGAAATTTCGTGCTGCCGTACGTTCCAGAGGCAGCTTTTTGAGCTAGCATCGCTGACTGAACTATTTTTTAAAAAGGCTTCCATCACAGATCCGGCTGCTCCTCGGAACAGGTACAGGCCTGGAAGTTTTGACAGAAAAACTTTCTTCAACTTCAATTTCCTAGTATGGGGTGAAAAGAGACAGAAAGCAACCCTCTGGTAAAGAAATTAAGCTGGGCTTCACCGTCAGTAGTAGTTCTCGTCGGCCGTCCTACTTAAGAGGAATCCGCTAACTCCGCCCATCCCCCAGCTTGTCCCTCACTGCTTTCAGCTCGCGACCTGCTTTCAGCTCACGACCTGCTCAAGATGGCTACAGGCACACTTCCGGTATCTTCCCGAACTAGGCCGGCCTCTATTTTCGTACTTTCACCGCGCCGGAGGCGGGACTTAGAGTTAGCTTTTCATTGGTCAACTTGACTGGCGACCTTTCCTCTCCGCGACAGTTTCCCGAGGTGCCTAGTGCCTGAGCGGCACGGACGAGAGTTAGAACGAAGGCAAGATGGCGGACGTGCTGGATCTTCATGAGGCTGGGGGCGAGGATTTCGCCATGGATGAGGATGGGGACGGTGAGGACAGTGGAGGCAGCTGCGGGAAGCGGGGAAGGTGCGAGAGAAGGGCGTAATACGAAAACATAATCTCCCTTCTCCCCGGCAGGGAGGATGGGAGCCGGGGAACTGGGTTTCGGTTGGATTAGAGACTCCGCCCCCTTCGGGAGGGATGGGGGCGGGACAGGGAAGGGACTGGGACTGGAGGTGGTGGGGCCGACTTTCAGATAATGTCTTGGGAAAGAGACTGTTGTTTTAAATAAATGTTGTCTTATTTCATTGTTTCACTTCTGGGGTTCCAGAGAGCATCCACAAACTAAAAGAAAAAGCGAAGAAACGGAAGGGCCGTGGCTTTGGCTCGGGTGAGTGTTTGTGGGAAAAATGGGGTCCAGAATGGCGAGAGCTACGAGTTTTGGCGTTCCCGTTCCGACTCATGTGAAACAGTGGGAGGAGGATTTCCAGTGATCTCGTGTGTGTTCCTTATAGAAGAGGGGTCACGAGCGCGGATGCGTGAGGATTATGACAGTGTGGAGCAAGATGGTGATGAACCCGGACCACAACGCTGTAAGTAAAATGGAGCCTGTAGGGATCTGTGTTTGTAGAGAATTAGAGACCAATAAAATAAAACCCAGTAGGAATGGGGTCAGAGATAGCTTAACCAATCTCTGGAGTCGGCACACTCACTCTGCTCCTGTGATCTTGTTTGAAGTTTTTCTCTCATGTACTCAAACAACCTCCTTCCCTTCCCCAACAGCTGTTGAAGGCTGGATTCTCTTTGTCACTGGAGTCCATGAGGAAGCCACCGAAGAAGACATCCATGACAAATTTGCAGAGTATGGGGAAATAAAAAACATCCACCTCAACTTGGACAGGCGTACAGGATACCTGAAGGTATCCTAAGTGACAGTCCATTGCCTCTTCCCCCATAACCTTTAGACATCATTGGTAGTTCTCTCGTGTTTGCTGTGGTTGGGCAAAAGCAAAGTTGAAATAAAATGACATTGGAAATTGATTTTGTTAGACACAGCAAAGAGAGACAGAAATAGACACGTTGTATATACAGTAGGTATATATGATTTACATTCATTGTTTAAAATTTATAGATTTTTCTATTTGAATATGAATTTAGATTTGAGGAAGAAGATACTCAGTGATGTTTGGTGGAATAGGAGGGTTTTGATATCTGTCTTTTCCCTTGCTCCAGGGGTATACTCTAGTTGAGTATGAAACGTATAAAGAGGCTCAGGCTGCTATGGAAGGACTCAATGGCCAGGATTTGATGGGACAGCCAATCAGCGTGGACTGGTGTTTTGTTCGGGGTCCACCCAAGGGCAAGAGGAGGTAAAGTGGAGAGGGCAAACACTATCTTGGTAAAGGGAATGTGAACGAAACAGAATAAGGACTTTGTATTATGTCCCTCTGATGGACTTCCCCCTTCCTTTTCCCTAGAGGTGGCCGAAGACGCAGCAGGAGTCCAGACCGGAGGCGTCGCTGACAAGATCTGTTGTCCAGGTGGTCTCTCCAGAGTTCCCATTTGACCATGCAGCCTTAGAGAAATAGGGCTGGGCTGGAACTCACTATGTTTATATTTAATCTCTTACCCTATGTGCTTAGTGTTGGAGTTTTGAATAAATGTCCCATTTTTGTTTTCTACATTTAAAGTTATTTTTCTGTTCTGACATTGGAAGCTCTGAAGCACTATTTAGAGTAAGGCAGAATGAGGTCACTGTGAAGATACTTCTCCCAGAAACTGAATTCTGTGTGAGTTTCTACGTTAGACATAGTTTCAAGTCTCAGTTACGGTTAAAGTAGAGACACTGCTTAGTATTTCTTTTTCTTGGAAGGTAAGAAAGCACGGGTAGAAGTGAGACGTTCTCATGATATTAAAGAATAATTATTCTTTTTCTGTATACTCTGTTCTGAGCAAATGGATGTTATAGGAACGTCTCTTTTGTTTCTCCTGCCCTTCTTCCTGCCACATTTGTTTGTACTTGCAGCTGTCTAAGAGCTTGAATCTCCTTTCGGGGCATTCTCCCTGACCCTCCTTCCCTGGAAGAGTCTATATAAGTTCTTGGTGCCCTCTTCGGCAGCCAAGGGCGAAGGCCCCATAGAGGAGAGGATCCAGAGGAGCACTGAGGAGGCCAAAGAGGAAAAGGATGTGGCTGAGGCTGGGAGGGATTTCAGTTAGCATGGTGGGAGAGAACCAGTACCACAGACCCAGCAGGTAATAAGGTGTCCAGCAGAGGATGAAGGTCAGCAAGACAAGCAGGGCCAGTTGCAGGGCCCGCAGACAAACATGGGAGCGATTGTCTAAGGAGCGGCGGAGGGCAAATTCACCGGCAGGGGCTGGGAATTTAGAAAATATACTCAAATTCAGAACCACTCAGCTTCTGAACTGAGTTTAGGGTGAACTGATAGGCAGAGATAGTTAGATGGAGCTCTCACCCTACAAGGAAGAGAATGCTGTAAACAGGAGGTAATGCTGCAAATCCTCTTTGCCTTCCCAACCTGTGAATCTGTGCTCCCCTCCCCACCAGGGATTATGACATATATGCTGGAGAAAAGGTTTTGATTGAGGTGCTCTGTTATATGAAGGTACTAAGTCTACTTTAAGATTTGATCGTGTCCAAAAGTAAAGGAGAATACTGATCACCTTTCTCCTTAATCCTTGCCCAGCTAACTCAGCTTCAGAGGATGGTTAGAGGCTGGTTAGACTTGAAGGCATTCAGTAAAATTATGTGCAGCATCAGGTGCTAGAGATATGGTTAGGATCTCATTTTTGTTTTGTCACAGCTATATGATAGATGGCTATCAGATAAATAAATGAGGGTAGAGGCAATAGCTTAAGGGTATGGATTAGGGCCAGGGGATTGGAGTCTCACCACAGTTCCCTTTCCTTGTCTGGGGACTGGACACACTGAGGACAATGCGGCTGTAGCAGATGGTCATAGTAGTGGCAGCAGAAAAAGGCAGCAGAAGGTGAGAAGAGGTTATAGGTGGTCTCTTGCCATCGAGCCTTGAAGCTGCCTTTGGTGATACATTGAGTGAAGGAGACTGGGCCAGCTCGGCGGACAGTATGGAACAGGAACAGCTGGAGTGGATTTAAGGACTGTTAGAACTGGTCCCTCTTCCCCTCCCCTTCAACCTACCCACCAATGTCACACTGTCTCCTTCCAGTCCATCCTTAATTCTGTGCAGAGCAATGCAGTGCTAAGCAGCGGTTCATCCATGATGCCGTTTTTAAAAGGTTAGAGATGTATCTTGAAAATCCCTATCTTCCCCGTAGACTATGGAGCTAACCATTAAGTTTGTTAAATCCTGGGACTTAAAAAATCCTGCCTTCCCATATATTCAAACATTGCACTTTACAAAAAAGATATCTCTACCACCTCACCAACATTTTTAGCCAAAATGAATTTCCTGATTTGACTGATTAATTCTGTGGAAAAAAGAAATCTTGTATAAAATGGGTGCTGCTAAAAGTTCAGGCCGTTTTGCAGCTACTCTGTGAAGTGACCTTTAGTAATAGTCTTACATACAATAACTATAATGGTGAAATAATGTTAAATAATAAATTTTAACATTTTCAAAATGCTGTTGGCCAACGCTCCCCCTTTTTGGTAAATTGTTGGATTTTTTTATTTGAATTAGTAGAGTATTTTTCAGTTTAGAGCTTCAGGGTTAGTACCTTGGTTCAGGTAAGGTAGATTATTTGAGAAAGACAAGCCCAGTAGCTATCAGATTCCTAGATATAAGGCATTTGGGAAAGTCATTTTAGCAGGCATGAGGGACTTTTAGGAAAGGTGAATAGTATCAGCCATAGACATACAATTTTATAAACTGCTTGGAGTTACCATCAGGCTACTCTGAGCTAGTTGGGGAGTAGTCTCTCCTCTTTCCCTATCTTGAGTCCATATACTTCTGGGTTTTTTTTTGCACTATGCCTAGAAGTACTTGAGACATTGTGAGAAGGGGTTTCAAAATAGCCAAGGCTTTTGGACTTATAACTTGGTCCTTAGCCCTGCTTCTGTCCCACCTTTCCCCTATTTGATATGCAATTTACCACCTACTGTAGAAACCTTTCTCTCAACCGCTTCTGATACTTGGAAACTTGAGCCTATAAAAAAATTTCTAACTACCCCAATACTCACCCACCACACTAATACCACACTTAAAAAAAAAAAAGTTTATTGACACGTATTTTAAATACAGCATATGGGCAATGCAGCATTTATACAAGGGGATGCTAACGTGGAACCAAAAATACCACCTTTGCACATATCTCACCACTAGTTTGCCACTGAAGCAAATGGAGATTGCAATTATTGTCAGATTGTCAGCCTGTGTGAAAGGGTGAAATTCCTCTCCTATTCCATCATTTTATGGCCCATGGATTTCAAGTATGATTTAGCCAGTCACAGCTAGTTAGTGGTAGCGCCTAGACTCAAAAAAAAAACAACCCCCCAAAAACAAAGCAAAGTAAAACAAGCAAACAATGCAACAAAAACAGGCTTCTAATTCCCAGTCCACATCTAAAATTTGCTTCATATGTATATGAACATACATGTATTTATATTTCTAATATTTGAGGATTTAAGGATCAAATCTTAAATCTGACTCTAGTGTATCATCTGAAATCATAGCCCTCTTAGACCCTTACAGACTTAATCCTAATCCTAGTCTCAGATGCTCCTCTAGCCCCTCCCCCCCGATGGTGCTAGTGGTTTTTGTTTTGAGGGAACTGCTTCATATTTAGCTTTTTTCTAGATTTCTAGCTCATTTTCAATATTGAGATTTGGTTAACTAGTACTTAAGTTCTGATGCTCTCTTTTTTCCCTGGTTTTGACCCATTCCACAAAAAGCCAGAGTAAAAAATAGAAATCTGATTATATTACTCTCCACCTTTTACTTAAGTGTCTCTTACTGCCTTCAGGATAAAGTACAAACTTAATATTTGTGATCTGGCCCATCCTTACCCTCCAGGCTCATTACGTACCATTTTGTAGCCCTCAACTTTAGCTGCAACCACGAGATCCTTTACAGTCTACCCTCCTCTTGCTTTAACTTGTCTAACACCTGTCAGGAATCAAATTTTAACATCTCTAGGAAGCTTTCCCTGACAGTCCAAGAGTGGGTCAGTCACCTCCCCCACCCTTGTTCTTTAGCTCCTTCTGCTTACCTTTAGCGTAACACTTGACTACACACTGTATTGTAATTGCATACCAATTTGTCTCCTGCACTAGCCTATAAATTTCTTGAAGGCAGGACTTTGTGGCTGTATCCTTGATAGAGCATTTGAGTGTGCCTGGGGATGATGCGCATTATCTTTTAAATTGATGAATGAGTGTACCACAAAGTTTTACCCAAAGCCCCTGACTTCACGGGCTTGTTAGCAGACCTCCCTGCCCTAGAGTATTTCAGCAACAATTTCCTGAGAAAGCTGGGACTGGGAGGATGCAAAGGGGTGGAAGTTAAGTGTAGTAAAACAAAGCTGAAGGAAGAGGCACAGATACAGGATACTGTTTTCAAGAGGTACCCTCTTTACAGAGATACAAATTAACCTGCAGTGATCTTAACTTGCAAAAGAGAGCACAGGCTCCCGCTGAGGTTTAACGGTTGAGCACGGCCAAGCACACCCCTTGACTCCGGAGGCTCACGCTGTGTACCCAAATTCTTATACGGTCTAGCCCTGAGTCCCCACAGGTTACTCACCTGGGGCAAGGCAAGCAGGAAACTAAGTCCCCAGGCTGCCCCCAGAAGTTTCCTTCCAGCTGAGCGGGGTCTAAGTGGGTGGAGTACTGCTGCCTGGCGGTCCAGCCCAATGACCATAGTCAGGAAAGCTGCGGCATAAATGGCCATTAGTTTCAGGAATATGAGTGTCCGACATGCAATATCCCCGGCCAGCCACTGAACAGTGATATTCCAGGTGGCATCTAGGGGCGTAACCACAAAAGTGACCAGTAAGTCGGCAGCTGCTAAATGGGCAAAGAGTCGCCGCACTGGAGAGGGGCTGAGTTGGCTGGGTTGCGGCCGCGTCACTGACCACAGCACGGCCAAGTTCCCACCAGCAGAAGAAAAAAACAGCACGATGGTCACTCCCACTCGGACCTTGGCTGCAGCTGAGAACGTGGGCAGCTCTGAATCCTCCATCTCTACTCCTGATCCACCCCACACCTCCTCCACTGCAGCTGACCCCCAAGGGGTGCCGTTGCCTGCACACATGGTGGCCTAGAAGGAAAAGGGGTGTGGGTATGAAGAGGTTAGCTTCGGCCACTGATTCTTCGCCCTTTTTAGGATTTGGAGCTGGTTATTGCGAATTTCGTCCAGTAAAGTCTCTGTCTCTGTCTTCATCTTTATTATGCAGGTCACCTGTTCAACAGTCAGGGACCTGCGGAGAACAGGGATCTAGTGCTGACTTCTACTTTCATAGACCTCTTTAGTCCCTAGAGCCTGGATTCGGCCAGAACGTGCGGGCGTGTGTGTTGGGGGTGTTCTGCTGGACGCACCCCGGGAGGAAACCCTATTCCAGCCGCCACAGAGATCCCAGTGGCGACTTCTCGCCCCGCCCCTACTCCTGCAGGCCCCGCCCTTGGTCCAGAATACTTAAAGAGGAATGTGCCCTTTGAGGCGTGGTTAGGAAGTAGAGAGCATCTGATAAGAGGACGCTCTGACAGAGACACGCACAAAAACACACGGGTGTAGCCCAGGGAAGCGCTTCTCGTTCTGGAATTTCGCTTCAGGGGCCGGCTCCACTCGCTTTCTTTTCTGACGATGTTTGTCCCTCGCGAGGCACCGTTGGGTCGTCGTGGAGGCGTGACTAGGGGCGGGAAGTGGAGAAGGAGTGGGGCTGCGGAGCCGCGGCTGCCGCTGTCATGGACGCCTGGGTCCGCTTCAGTGCTCAGAGCCAAGCCCGGGAGCGACTGTGTAGGTGCGGCCTGAATAGGAATGGGGGGGAGGACGGGCAGAGGAAGGTCCACGTGAGGCGAGGTCAGTTCATACTACCGGGGTCAAAAAGGGTCAACTCGGGCTACGGGGGCCCAGATGGACCTCTAGGAGCTGATTTGAGCAGGCCGTGAGATGATTCGTTTCTGCTCACGGGAAAGATGGGGAAACTGAGGCACGAGTAGGCCAGTGGGGAGGCCGCTCAGGGTTGCCGTGTCCACATAAGACCAACAGTTTCCTCACTGGGCGGTGGTGGAATGAGGAGAGTTCGCCCCGCGATGGATAGCGACCCGGACTCTGCCACCCCCAGCAAAGGAGGCGCTACAAGTCTCCGTGTCCCCTCAGCCTACTGTCACCCGGGAACAGCTCTGCCTCCGCTCTGTGTTATGGTCTCGATTCAGCTACAGGGGTCTTGAAATTTCGTAGTTCAACTAAAGAATAATCTGCCCTCCAACTGTTCCTCATTCCCTCACATATCACATACTGCTCACATTGATGTGCTTGTCATGGACCCCCTCCTGCCTCCGCCATCCTCTTCGGACCTCATTATTGTCAAGTCTCTTATTTTTCAACTCTTAAGTAGTGCTCCCCATCCCCTTCTAAGCTTCTTTTTATGCTGTATGCCTTTCCCTTCCCCTGGTCTGGAGGAGAAACGGTGAGATACGGGCATGAAGAGGAGGAAGGGGTATCATCTCAAAGAGGGAAAAGAGGAAGTCCATCACTGGCCTTTTGGAGGGCGTTTTTGACGGGGAGATTAGGGAGATCTCCACCTCACCTTGCCTGTCCTCTCCTCTAGAGCTGCCCAGTATGCTTGCTCCCTTCTTGGCCATGCACTGCAGAAACATGGAGCCAGTCCTGAGTTACAGAAACAGATTCGACAACTGGAGGGTCATCTGAGCCTAGGAAGAAAGCGTAAGTAACTGCGCCTTCCCTTGTATTACCCCAACACTTCTTCCATCCCCAGCTATTCTGCCTTAGTCTCCCCTTCCTGTTTTTGACCTTCTCTGGCAGTTCGTCTCCCTCATTTGGATCTGTGGTTTTATCCTTTGCATGCCTCCCAATTGAGATAAGAGAGCAGGGGTAAAAGAGTAATAAAGGTTTGGAGAGAATGGGGCAATTTTGAGAAAACTAAACCAGGACACAAATTATTTAAATTTTTTTTTTTTTTAAAGATTTTATTTTTTCCTTTTTCTCCCCAAAGCCCCCCGGTACATAGTTGTGTATTCTTCGCTGTGGGTTCTTCTAGTTGTGGCATGTGGGACGCTGCCTCAGCGTGGTCTGATGAGCAGTGCCATGTCCGCGCCCAGGATTCGAACCAACGAAACACTGGGCCGCCTGCAGCGGAGCGCGCGAACCCAACCACTCGGCCACGGGGCCAGCCCCAAATTATTTAAATTTTGAAGTCAAAAAGAAAGAAGTGTTTCTGCTCTTTTTAAAAATTGTCTGTTATTGTTTCTATCACTTGCTCGACTTTCATATTCTTGCTTTCTCTCTTTCACTGTGTGTTGCCCTCTGTTTGTCTCTCTCCTTCCAAATCCTTGTTTTCCCTTGCTAATCCCTACAAGTTCTACGCCTGGGTAACTCAGCAGATGCCCTTGAGTCAGCCAAACGAGCTGTGCACCTATCCGATGTTGTCCTGAGATTCTGCATCACTGTTAGTCACCTCAATCGAGCTTTGTACTTCGCCTGTGACAATGTCCTGTGGGCTGGAAAATCTGGACTAGCTCCCCGTGTGGATCAGGAGAAGTGGGCCCAGCGTTCATTCAGGTTTGATATCCTTTTATCCAACAAGACCTTTTGTATTCTCCATACTGAATAGCTTGCCTTTTATGAGAAAAAGATCTCTCAGGGTCTTCCCAGAATATTCGCATCTTAATAAATCTTCCGGTCTTGATTTCCAATCTTCATTTAGATCTTAAACTATCAGAAAATAATGAATGGGGGCAGATGGAAGATAGGTGCTCTTCCATGATGAATGACTAAGACTGGGTGAGATAAGTTATTATATTGCTTTAATTCTGCTTCTGTTATACCACAGGTTATGCCCCTCACTGCCTGCTCATTTATTCATTCTAAAAATATTTAGTAAGTGCTTACAGTGGGCCAGAGAATAAAGCAAAGAGCCAAACAGATATGGTTCCTGCTCTCATGAAGCTTCTAGTCTAGTGGGGAGTCAGATATTAAAACAAATAATGACCAAACCAGATATAGCAAGGAAAAGTACAGGGTGTTATGAGATATAACAAGGAGATTAGATTGAAAGGTCAGGGAAGAACTCTTTGAGAAAGTAATATGTTAGGTGAGACCTGAAGTCCAAGTAGGAGTTAGACAAAGCAAACAGTGACAGAGAAGACCTTTCCAAATAGAAAATAGCATATTTTAAGACCTTGAACCAAGAAAGACTTTGGGGGATTAGAGAAATATAAAGAAAGCCAGTGTGATGGACAGTATCAAGTAGAGGGCATAGGTTCAAACTGGAGAGGTTTGATAGGGGCTAGATCATTCATGCAAAGCGTTTTAAGCAAAGGTAAGATTTTTGTTTGTTTGTTTAGTTTTGTTGAAATTTTATACGAAGTACAATGGATTCTGAACAGGGATGTGATGTGATTCAAATTGTGTTTAGAGAAGATCTCTCTTGCTGCAGTGTGGAAAAGGGATTGCAGTAGGGCAAAAGAGGAGGAGATGCCCTAATATGGCCAAGAGATGATGTTGGCTTGGACTGAGGAGCTGGCTGGTAGTGAAGGTGGAGAGAAATATGATTTGGGAATAAAATTATCTGTATAAATATCATCCATATTTGTTTTTTGCTTCTCTATGATTCTCTTTGTTCTTTTACATCATATTAGCATCTTTCTATCTCTATTTATGTCTTGCTTTTCTCATCTTTCTCAGTGATTTACAGCTATAACATAGCTTAGGATATATGAGGGGTGGGGGCAGAGGCATGACTGGAGTGGCATGGAAAAGCAACTCCTTAGAAGAGTTTATATGCCATCTTTATTCATTTCATTCAACAAATATTTATCAAGTTCTTACTACTTGGCAGGCACTGGTCTAGACAAAGCAATACAGTGGTAAAGACCAAGAAGGTCCTTGTTCCTATGGAGTTTACATTGTAATGGGAGGAGACAAACAAAGAAACAATAAATAAGAAAAATATGAGATAGTGGTAAGTGCCATGCAGGAAATTAAAATAGGATCATGTGGTAGAAAGTAAATGGCTTGCTATTGTAGAAAGGGGGGTCAGAGAAGTCCTCTCTGAAGAGGTGACATTTAAACTCAGAGCCAAAGAGCAAGAAAGAGCCAACCATGTGAAGATTTTGGAGGAAGAATATTCCAGGTAGAGAGACTAGGTAGTGTAAATGTCCTAAAACAGGAATAAGCTTGATGGGATTAAAATATGGAAAGAAACTAATGTGGTTGGAGCCCAGTGATTGAGGGAAAGAATGGTACATGATGGAGTTAGAGAGGCAGGGTCAGATGTTGACTTCTGTAAGCCTAAGATGTCTAGATTTTATTCTAAATATGATAGGAAGGAAACCATGGAGGGTTTTGAGAAGGGGAGTAATGATGTGATTTACGTTTATGCCAGCTACTATATGAAATTAGATTGCTGGAGGTAGAGGGGCAAGAGTGGCCCTGGAGAGACCAATTAAAAGACTAAAGGAGTAGTTCAAGCAAGAGATAATGGTGGCTTAGACTGTAGTGGTGGAGCGTAATAAAGAGGTGTGGTTAAATTCAAGATGTATTTTGGAGGTAGGAAAATTATATTGAGTACAGACCTCTGTTGTCAGGGTGGATTAAAAATCAAAAACATAGACTGTTCTTAAGGAATTTATAATCTGACACATTTGACAAGCTGCTTAACACCTCTGGGCCTCACTTTTTTTTTTTTAAAGATTTTATTTTTTTCCTTTTTCTCCCCAAAGCCCCCCAGTACATAGTTGTATATTTTTAGTTGTGGGTCCTTCTAGTTGTGGCATGTGGGACGCCACCTCAGCATGGCTTGATGAGCGGTGCCATGTCCACACCCAGGATTCGAACTGATGAAACACTGGGCCGCCTGCAGCGAAGTGCATGAACTTAACCACTGGGCCACGGGGCCGGCCCCCTCACTTTTTTTTTTTTTAACAAAAAGATTGGATTTAAATGTTCTATAATATGTCTTGAGTCTCTGAAACAACTGAAGCTTGTTCTTTCAAAACAAATTTGCACTATTATAGTTGAAGTTGAATGTGTGCGTGTGCTAATGGGTTGCCAAGTGGAAAAGTGAAATTTGAGGTTGATCTTGGAAGAGTTGATGATACTCATGCATTTTAAGCCAGGATCACATAAACACATGTTACAGAAAGGTGGGAGAACATTTCTAGTAGTGGTTAATAGCATTCACTTCTGGTGTTCTAATGTGTAATCCCTTTGCATTATGGGAAAAACAATATTTAAGTCTTCTGTTGGATATGCTGAATGGATATACATGCCCTTCCTTAATGACCCTTCTGTCCTATACATCCCAGGTACTATCTGTTTTCCCTCATCATGAACTTGAGCCGTGATGCTTATGAGATTCGCCTTCTGATGGAACAAGAGTCTTCAGCTTGTAGCCGGCGACTGAAGGGTTCTGGAGGAGGAGTCCCAGGAGGAATTGAAATGAGGGGATCTGGGGGTCCAGGGGCTCCAGGAGGAGGCCTGCCCCAACTGGCTCTGAAGTTTCGGCTCCGAGTCCTGCTCCTGGCTCGGGTCCTTCGAAGTCATCCCCCACTTCTGCTGGATGTAGTCAGAAATGCCTGTGATCTCTTCATTCCACTGGACAAACTAGGCCTCTGGCGCTGTGGCCCTGGGATTGTGGGGCTTTGTGGCCTCGTGTCCTCCATCCTGTCTATTCTCACCCTAATCTGCCCTTGGCTACGGCTCAAGCCCTGATACTCTGGTACAAGATAAGGAGGGGACCTGAATTGGTAAGATGGAATCTTAGATCATCCCTGGTGTACCAGCTTCATTCTACCTCTACTCCTTGGTTAAAGTTAAAAATCCAGAGACTTAGGAGTAGAGGGAGGGGCTTTGGGGAAGATGAGGTGAGGAAGAGTGACTTGTGAAGTCAATAAGACTATTCTGATGTTCAGATCCACTGGAGCTTTTGTTCTTTTCCTCCGTTGTATTGTCTGTGTCTCTCTTGACTCTTTTTGCTTTGTCTCTCTTAAGTCTATTTAAGATTCTGTCTCTGCATCTCTTTTTTATGTTCTCAGTTCCCTGTCCTACGAATTTAATCAGCAGCAGAATTACTTTTGGGTCGAGGAGGTTGAAGGTGTGGTCCCTAAGGTTCTAACTGCCTTCTTCTTTTTCTTCACAAAGGTGGCTTGTGGCAGATTTTACTCCCTTCAAACTTCAAATCATAATTTTAAAGACTTTATGTCCCAGAAGACTCTTCCCTCATGCACCAGAGGTGGTTCGATGCTTCCTCTTCCTCCCTCCTATCTACCTCACCAACCTCCCTCATGACTTGGCCCTTTTCCTTCTCTCTGCTCATACCTGCAGATTTCTGCTACACTTTGATTTCAGGGCTTTGTTTCCTAGCCTGTTCTTACCCCTTCTTTGCCTATCCAGAATGATGCTGTGTCTAGCATCTTGCTGTAAATATTGTACAATGATTCTGTGTAAATAGCTGTGGCCCATGCCCACGATGGAGAGCAAGCCTTCCAGGTCAGCAAATTAAAGATCAGTTTGCTCGTTGATGTTTGGTCTGGTCCTGTGTGTTCTAGTCATCTGAGGCCCCTATTTCTGTCACTGTGGTTTGGGTTTTCCATGGGATTAGCTACTGGCATCATCACCCACAGACTTTTATGGAGCACCTACACTATTCAGGGCATAATACTAAGTGATAGAGCTACAAAAAGCTAAGAAACTCTGTGGTCCCAACTTCAGAAGTTTATGGCCTGGTTGAGAAGATAGGGTCTAATGTTAAAGTAGTTATACTGGTTCCACAAAGCACACCCCACACCAGTTTGTAGTTTATAGTCCCTCCAAAAACTGTAATGCCACAAGGCAGCATAGGCTAAGAGTCACAAGCAGAACTAAGTGGAGTGAGGCTGGTAAGGCTTGGTTTGTGGGCTGGCTGTGTCTTCACATGGGACTCCCCTTGGTTGGTTTGGGAAATGATATCACTGTTATCAACTCTTTCATTTTCCATATCCCAGGTTGAGATAAATAAGGTTAGAAAGTTAAAAGGATCTATCTCCCACTCCTACCTTCTGTTCCACACCCAAGGAAAGCGTTATTGCCTGGCAACAGCGAAGGACAGAGAGAAAGGAAGAGAGAAACTGCAGAAAGGGTGAAGAATTGTGTTCTCTTTGGAAATTGAGATAATGCCTCCAGGGGGCAGCACCAAGGCACAGAAGTAGGCTAAGATCGTCAGTCCTCCTTTCCTTGGTCTGGGGCTCCCCACAGTTCCCCACCATCACTCCTCCCATTCCTTCCAACTTTATTTTTAGCTGCCAGTGGGAGGGGGCAGGATGGGAGGGAAAGTAAAGAAAACAGAAAAGGAGAGGGACAGAGCACAGAGGACTTCTCACATGGACAGAGGACTTCTCATACGGACAGAGAACACCCAAGCATGGAGCTCCCCCTCATCCCTCACCTGTTCTTGCTCCTGATGTTCCTGACAGGTGAGGGAGGTTAACTTCTTGGTTTCTGGTGGGAATGGAAGATGTTTGTATTGTTTGGCATTGGGACGTTAGGGTTAAAATTCTTTGGGAATTAGGGTAAGAGGTTAATACTGATTCTACATTTCTAGTGTGTGCATGCGTGTTGGGGGGGGTGGGTACGTGGGGTGGCCTGATTGCATTCTTATGCCCAACTTATGACTGCTTCAATGTTGAGACTGGCAGGGCCTTGTGTAAGATTTGTATTCAATTATTTACCACCCTTGTCCTAAGCCCTGGAGGAGTGAGGGGACCAAAAAAGAAACATGATGTGACCTTCCACATGGCTAGTCTGATTCCTATTATCCCCCTCCCTACTTCTCCCTACCCTTGGTGGTCTCTGGGTCTTGAGGCGTAATTAACTAACTGTGTGGTCAGAACTCTGGGTTTATCTAAGCAATGAACTACAGCTCCTGGTTATACAGCCCTGCCAGTTTCCTGGATGCAAAAAGGCTCACATACAAAATACCTTTCTGAAAATGAGCATGGTTTGAGACAGAGCTATAGTCATTGGTGGCAGTGGCCCAAGAGGGGGCTGCTTGAAAGGCGGGAGCAAGGCACAGTCAGGGAAAAAACCATGGGAGGGACAAGAGGCCTGGAATTTTTTCTCATCAGTGCCCTGTAATCTTCTCTTCCTAAAATACCAGCTCTGATTTTAAAGGGATTGGGGTTGGGAGGGAAGAATCAGCCAGGACATGATTGGGGGGTCTTTGAATTGGGCTGAGAGATAAAGAAGAAATGCAGGTAGGCAGGGGGCAGTTGGGAGGGTGGGTGAGTTAGAAAGGAAGTCGGTTGTGGAAAACTTTGGGGTGACGGGACCCTTGGTAAGGATGGATGGCAAACCATATGTGTGGGCAGGCAAGGGGCCCCACCCAGTTAATTACCACTGAGGTTTCCAGGGCTGGAATCAACAAGAGACCTAGACATTGGAGAAAGACAGTGAGTCTAACAATGACACTGGGAGTCAAGAAGAGGTAGAAAGAGAAGGAGACCCAGACATGCAGTGCTCCCTAGCCTCCTCTTGATCTCCCCGTGGTCCTGAGTTTGGGGAGAGTTTGGAAGTAGTTGTTCTGGGGCTGCAGCAAGGCATTCTCCATCTTTTGACTCTCACAGCTCGTGGAGGAGGATGTGTAGGAGGAATGATGTGGAAAAGAGGAACTTGACCCTTCCAGACATGTCTGTAAATGAGATTTCAGAGGTGGGAGTGAAAATACAGCTGTGCACTGGCATGGCAGAGGACCGCAGTTAGACGTCTGGACCCAAACACAGGAAGGAGATCATCTTCACTTGGATCTCTGAGTACATGACATTGACAGAGGCCAGGACAGTTTATGAGTAAGAAGTAGGGAGATAGACTGAGATGAAAATGTTTCCTTCGTGGCTTCTCTCTTGTGCTTCTGTAGGCATTCATTAGCTTCTTTGACTGCTTCTTACTAACCTTACGGTCCTGGCCCCCCAGGTCTCTGTTTCCCCTTTAACCTGGACGTGCATCGCCCACGCCTATTCCCAGGGCCACCCACGGCTGAATTTGGATACAGTGTCTTACAACATGTTGGAGGTGGACGACGATGGTGAGGAGGAAGCCAGAGGGCTGTGGGATTGGGACTGTGATAGAGCTGTTAAAGGGGAGGCAGGGTAGATGGGAATCTAATCTGCTCTTTTGAAAGTGGCTGGGACTCTAGACTTGCCACCTCCATGTGCTTCCCCTCTGGCCTATCTCAAGGGTCATATTCACACTATGCTTATATTCATGTCCTCCTCCTAGGATGCTGGTGGGTGCCCCCTGGGATGGGCCTTCAGGCAACCGAAGGGGGGACATTTATCGCTGCCCTGTAGGGGGCTCCCACAATGCGCCATGTGCCAAGGGCCACTTGGGTAAGAAGATGCCTCATTCTTCCTCTTAACCCCTAACCTTGAGGTACTAGTAGCTTTGACCCCTTTGCTCACCTTCGTCACCCCTTTATCTCACACACTGCCCATCCCTGACTTGATCCTGATCTCTTCTCATCCTCTTCCAAAATCACCCTGAACTTAAGCACCCCATCATCTGTGGCCCCGTGATCTCGTTCTTTCCCTCCTCCCTCCCCCCAACCCAGGTGACTATCCACTGGGAAATTCATCTCGTCCTGCTGTGAATATGCACCTGGGGATGTCTCTACTAGAGACAGATGGTGATGGGGGATTCATGGTAAGCTAAAGAAAGGGGGGAGGGGTCCCTGAAAGTTCATGGCAGAGAAAATAGCAGTATAGAAGGGTAATTGGTGTTTGTTGGGGGGTCAAGGAGTTAAAACCTTAGAAAGCAAGGAGAGGAATCTCAGGGAGTGGTCTCAATGCCTCCTTTGACCAGGAGCATATTCTGAGGGTGAGCATATTCCCTCCCAAGCCTAGGAATAACTATTCCCCCCACCCATTCATAGGCTTGTGCCCCTCTCTGGTCTCGTGCTTGCGGCTCCTCTGTCTTCAGTTCTGGGATATGTGCCCGTGTAGATGCTTCTTTCCAGCTGCAGGGAAGCCTGGCACCCACCGCACAACGTGAGCCAGAGGAAAGGACTGAGGACTCAGTCCCCAGAATGGGGTGCAGGGTGGGAAAAAATGGGGCAACAGGGTATGATGCTTGACAGGGGGCCTGCATGGCTATCTTCATTGCTACCTAATATGCCTGCAAAATCTCCAGGTTTACTAACAGATTAGTATTCAGACTCTTTACCAGGGGATCAAGACTCCATGAACTGATCTAACCAACTTCAAAAACTCAATTCTCACTATATCCCTCCACACCCTGCACCTTGCCCATAGCATTCACCTTAACATTCTCCTATGTGTCATCTATTTTTATACCTCCATCTCCTTTTGTTTAAACCATTCTCCCCCCAAATACCTTTCCTTGTATTCTCCTCTCCTCAAACATCTTCAGTCCTCAGTATCTTCTCAGTTGCTGCCTCCTTTGATTGCCTACCATCAGAACTGACCCTCTCTTGTCCTCCCACAGCATAGACTGGTATTGTTTCTGCCTAGTGCTTAATTCCTTTTTCTTTGTTTTTTTCAGTAAGTTGTATGTATGCCCATATCCTCTTTTATTCATTTCTATATTTACCCAGGGTCTGGCACACTACCTTCTTTATATGTCAGAAGTCCCTAATAAATGTTAGAATTGAATGTGCTGTCCTGTGACCTCTTCCCTTATTGCCCCCATGCCCAGTATTCTTATACTCCTCTGTTCCCCATCACCATACCCTCCTCCTAGGCTGCCCCACATACATGGATGTTGTCATCGTCTTGGATGGGTCCAACAGCATCTATCCCTGGTCTGAAGTTCGGACTTTCCTACGAAGACTGGTAGGGAGACTGTTTATTGACCCAGAGCAAATACAGGTAAGAGAAGGCAATATGGGTGGGCTTGGAGGGGAAGAGACAGAGAGAGAGGAGATAAATGTAGGTAGTGTCTTCAGTAGTATCCTGGTGCTCTTCTCCCCTCCTTTACATATTTTCTTCTCCCCCTACAACCACACCTTCCATTTGAATGCACACTTTATTCTCAGGTGGGACTGGTACAGTATGGGGAGAGCCCTGTACATGAGTGGTCCCTGGGAGATTTCCGAACCAAGGAAGAAGTGGTGAGAGCAGCAAGGAACCTGAGTCGGCGGGAGGGACGAGAAACAAAGACTGCCCAAGCAATAATGGTGGCCTGGTGAGGCATTGGGAGGGGAGTGTGGGAGGCCTGAGTGAGGAGGGCCTAGAAGGGTTATGGGAGGGTTTGGAGTGCAGTGTTTACATCCCAAGATGTTTTGCTTCCTTATCTTTGTGTCCAAACTAGAGGTGGGTCGGGGAATACTAAGTTGGCTGTCATTGCACTCTCTCTCAACGCATTTCCACAAAGAATCTATGTCTGTGTCTCTCCATATTTCTGCTTTATTTATCTCTGCAGACAGAACTCTCTATTGCTTCATTCCCACTTTGATCTTGGTACTCAGGCTTTCCACCACTCATGTCCTAGCCTACTTTCCAAATGTGATTCAAAACTTATCTCTAGGAAG